TTGCTCTTTTTAAATTTTTCCTTTTTTTCCCCTGGGGGCTCCTTATGTAGTCCAGACTAGCCTTGAATTCATGGTAATCCTCTTGCCTTCATCTCCCACATGCTGGATTATAGATGATGCCACCATACCCAGCTTGATTACCTTGCTTGAAGCTTTGGGGCTCAGAGCTGGAAGAGTTATTATTTGGGAAGTTGAGCAAGAAAAGAATGAATGTTGCTAAAGCTTAAATGTTTGCAGCTTTAGTAGAGGGGGAGGAAATAGGTGGTTCTCCTATTCCAAACTAATCATATGGGTAGACGGATAACCTTACCTAAGTGGATAGTCAGGTAGGTGAGTAAACACTGTGAAGCCATTTAGTTCTTGGAGGTCACAGATTTGGACAAATGGGTGTCTGTACTAAGTATGTGCAGTAGCAAGCAAAAGAGATCCAGTTTCAATACCCAGTGTAAAAGGAAGGTAGTTGTGCATATCACCAAACATTGCAAAGAGCCAGAGTAGAGGTGCGCAGAAGTGTCTGCAGGCTCCAGATTCTGCATCTTAACACAGGATCCTTCTGTACACTTTTGGGAACAACTCTCAAGAAAACTGGACTCTAATGTGCCCACCTATCATGTTAACCAAGGTTAGGTGCCCAATCTCGTAGTCCACAAACTACCTGGTAGGGGAGGTGTAGCTACCTGTAGGTGGAACTTGGGCCAACTCCCCAGCCAGGGTCTTCTGTGTTATTTCCTAACATCCCATGACTTTTGAATGCATCATCCTACTTCTGCTACCTTCACACCACTCCCACTGCTGCATCTGGATGCAGGTGTAAGGAGGAGGAAGGATGTAAAGGCAACAGCAGTTTATACCAAGCTTCAGGTAGTGGGCCTTGTTCTTGTTTGCAGTACATGTCTGGTATGTACTTTCACAAATTACAGCTGTGCAGTGGTATGTACCTTTAATCATCCGAGCTACCTGGGAGGTCCAGGCAGGAGGGTCATTTATGATGACAATACCATTGTTCTAGGCAACTTAAGAAACTGTCTCAAGATAAAAAGTATAGTACAAATGGCTGGCGGTTTAGTTCAATGAGTGCTTGGTTCCATCCCCAGTACCATCAAAAATAATGAAAACACCAACAAAATCATTTTTAGACTACTGAGGACATTGTTCTTACTTAGTCTATTTGAATAGGCACATAATCTAGAAGTGCTTCTGACCTACAGCAGTAGTCTTCCTCTTCCCTGGCCTGGCCAGAGCATCCAGGACAGACCCTCACTTAATATTACAGAATTTCAGATCTTTACCCAGAAATGGATTTACACTGCTTCTTGGGGTCAGTCTGTCTGTCTGTCTGTCTGTCTGTCTGTCTCTCTGTATGTTTGTCACACACTCTCTCTTTCTCTGTGTGTGTGTGTGTGTGTATGTGTGTGTGTGTGTGTGTGTGTGTTTCTTGTTTCCTTAAATGAGTCATAGCAGCTCTGTAGCCAGGTTTGGTAGCTGTCTTAGTTACTTTTTACTCATTGCTGAGACAAAATACCTAAAGGCCAAGTTGGGAAAGGAAAGGTTTATTTCTTACAGTTTTTGGAGGTTTCACACACTCAGTTGGCTCCAGGGCATGGCTGGGCCACAGTTCATGGTGGCTGCAAACAGCAAGCAGGAACAGGCAAAGAGCAAGACACACCTTCTCCCTGCCATTACATTACATCCTGGCTCCACCCCTCTGTGGGTATAGCACTGACACCATCAATCCAAGCACTAACAATGAACCATCACAAATGCACAATACAAATACATGAAGCCTGGGGGCCCACAGACATAAACCATGACATTCCTCCCCTGGCCCCCAGGACTCTTGTACATCCTTTATACAAAAGACATTTAGTCTACCACCAAGAGTTTCCAAAGTCTTAAGTTTCAGCATTGCTGAACAGTCCAAGTCCCATGTCTCCTCCATGATCTATGGCAAACTCTTAACTGTAACCCCTGTACAAATGAAACAAGTTTAAACATTTCTCAAATGCAAAGGCACAAAATAAACATTACTATTCCAAAAGTTACAAACAGGGGAATATAAAGCATTGGAAACAAAGCAAATCCAACATCCAGCAGGATGAACATTAAGTCCTAGAGTTCCTTGCTCTGCATCTGAAGCAATATGGTTACAAGCTCCAAAAGGCTTGTGTGATTCCACCCCCAAGGCACTTCCAGGGATTTCACCTCCTGCAGCTTTTCTCTTACATCCTCTCTGCTTGCTTTTTGGAGCTTTCCTTGGATCGTCCATGTTTCTGGCTTTTCCAAACTTTTGGGGTCTCCACTGCACCTTTGGCTTCACCTTTATGTCTTCACAAATTGCCCTCTCAGGGGCACACAGCTTGGCCTCCCAGGCCCTTTGCAATAGAGGTAGAAGCCATCTTACCCTCAGAATTTGTGCATTTTCCTAGCACCTAAGATCAGCACCATGTGGATGTTGCCAAGGTTTGCTGCTAGCTAGAGCAGTACTCAGGCTTTTCTCTCTCTTGGCTGTAGGGGTCAGTTGCCTGGATCACAGGGCTCTGTTTAACTGATTGTGAGGAAAAGCTTCTCTATGTTGCCACCATTCTGGAGCCTCATGTGGCCTGTCACCATTCTGGAAACTCATGTGGTCTCTGTCGCCATTCTGGAACCTGGTGCTCTGCAGCTTTCTCCTCTGAAAAAATTCTTTTACCTTTGCAGTGAGGCTGCACAGGGTGGGGACCTGCTTCCTGGGATGCCCCCGGCCCATCTTTCTTATTTCTCTGTTTTCCCTCAGCCATCAGAATCTCCACTGTCTTTACAATCCACAGCCTTCCTGAAATATTCTTTCTGGCCAAACTCACAGTATTGCAAATTATCCCGCTGGGCTCTTTCCTCTTGATTTGCAACATAAAGCTGGCTAAAAGCCCTCTACAGTAGCCATGCCACAGACTCAACATTTGATTGCTTTTTAATTTCTTTTTCAAGATTAATCAGTCCATTGCCCTTTGTTTCAGTCTCAGGCAAAGTCTCTGGACATGAGCAAAATGTAGACAACTTTCTGCCAACCCATAACTCACATCATGGGGAGTCCAACAACCACTGCAGTCCTTCTTCCCAGCAGAAATCTCCCAGGCCTGGTCTTTACCATCAGGCTTCCTATCAGCCTTCTGGTCTCCTGAGCTGTGACCACTATCTCCTCTACAGAACTGCCTAAGCTGCTCTAGCTCTATGCATCCAGGCAACACATCCAAACCTTTCCAAACTCTGCCCACAAGCCATTTCCAAAGCCATTTCTTGAAAAACATGGTAAGGTATAGTCACAGCAAACAACCCCATTCTTCGGTACCAAATTCTGTCTTAGTTACTTTTTACTCATTGCTGAGACAAAATACCTGAAGCCCAAGTTTGGAAAGGAAAAGGTTATTTCTTACAGTTTTTGGAGGTTTCAGTCCACACTCAGTTGGCTCCAAGGCAGGTGGGCATGGCTGGGTCACAGTTCAGGGTGGCTGCAAACAGCAAGTAGGAACAGGCAAAGAGCAAGATACACTTTCTTCCTACCATTACATCATATCCTGGCTCCACTCTTATGTGGGTGTAACACTGACACCATGAATCCAAGCACTAGACAATGAACCATCACAAATGCACAATGAAAATGCATGAGGCCTGGGGGCCACAGACATAAACCATGACAGTAGCCTACTACTTCTTGTACTTAGGAGCACACTTCTGCCGATCTGTTTCTCTGTGAATAGCTTTGCTTGTTTCAACTAGAAAATTGTTGTTGTTGTTGTTGTTCTTCTTCTTCTTCTTTTTGTTTTTTTCTTGTTTCATCTGAGATAACACATTTGCTGCCTTCTCTGGTACAGTTACTCCCTGGTGATTGTTCCTGTAAGCTTAGCGGTAACTTAAGGAACTCTTAGTTGAAATTGTATATGAAACATTTTACTTAGGAACATAAGTTTCCAAAAGAAAGAAAAGGGGAAGAGAGACTGATTGACTGAGACTGACTAGGGTTTTTGTGTATCTGAAACATACTTGTCCTTTGTGTTCTAATGTCAGACTTACCATGCTTACAATGTTACTGTTTCACATAACTGTGTTACACAAATCACTTTTAGAGATGTTAGTATAGTAAAAGTGTGACTTGAGTCTTTAGAAATAAAGCATATATGAAACCTCAAATCACATTACGGAGTGCATGCAAGACTCACCTACCCACTTCCCTGCAGTACTGCCTTGGTATTGCATAAGTTTCTGTGCTGGTGATACATTCGGCATTGAAGGAGGTGTTGAATGGCTGGCTAAAGAAGAGATCAATGGGTTAAAACCACAGAATGACCCAGTGACTTAGCAAGTACCCGTTTACTTAAAGAGCAGTGTACAATAGAAACTGTCCTCTGTTACTTGTTTGCTGTATTAGACGATAATCTTTTTGTGGTTAAAAGTCTGCATTACAGCTGGGAGTATGAAACACATCTATAATCCAAGCACTGGGGGAGACTGGTTACACAGAGTTTGAGGCCAACCTGGACTACATACATAGCAAGACTTTGTCTCAACATTCCCCAAACCACAACCACCCCCCCAAAACACTGTTTTTTAAAGTCTCTCACAAAATTAGGCACTGATGTCTCAACTGAGGTGTGGTTTCCTCTTCCTAGATACTGTTTCTTCATTGTTGAAGTAGGGTTTCATGTTTTCCCCTAATTGTCTTACTACCTTGGATATGAAAATTCTGCTTGAGTTTTATAAGTTGGTAGTAATTCTTCAATTCTCTGAAGTAATGGTGATTTGACTGGGAATCAAGAGAACTCTGTAGCATTTTTTATTTACTCAGGCATTCTCCATAGTATGTGTGTGACTGTCATTACAAGGATGATGTTAATAACATTAAAACTGTAGAAGATAAAAGGAACTGAGAATATGTGTTATACTTTTGAAAATGCTCAGAGACTGTTCCATTAACTTGTTGGATGTGTAACAGTGCTTCTTTAATTTGAATGTCTTCTTTTTCACAGGCCTGAGTTGCTGGAGGAAGCCCAGAGGCAAGGCTTACCATTTTCACAGTGGGACGGGCCAACCGTGGTTGAATGGCTGGAGGTACATCCCTTTACTACAGAGACCTATGCTACATGACACAAGCTTGTCGTGCATCTCCTGTCTCTACCTGATGTTCTGGTCTTTTCATTCTTCTTTCTAGCTCTGGGTTGGGATGCCTGCTTGCTATGTGGCTGCCTGCAGAGCAAATGTGAAAAGTGGGGCCATCATGTCAGCTCTGTCAGACAGACAGATCCAGCAAGAGATTGGCATCAGCCACCCTCTGCACAGACTGAAGCTGCGGCTGGCCATCCAGGAAACCCTGTGGCTCACCAGCCCTTCGGCTCCACCCACATTGAAAAAGGTATGTTCACAGAGGCTCTGTGTGCCCTCTGTGGAGGAGGAAGGCAGAGCCCACAAAAGCAGTAGCCTGCTAATGTTTCCGTGCTGCTTCCTAATCATACAGGGTGGTTTCAACTTAAAATTTCAGGAAAGCATAGTACAACCCCTAACTTGGAGGGGTTGAGTGATCCAAAGAAAATGTGTGAACTGCTTGTGTAAAAGTGTGGTTAAAGCCAGGCGTGGTGGCACATGCCTGTAGTTCCAGCACTCAGAAGGCTGAGGTGGGAGGATCACTGTGAGTTCTAGGCCAGTGGGTTACAGTGTGAGCAGCTTGAACTGAGTAATGAGATCCCGTTTCAGAAAAGACCAAAAAATAAATAATTAAATAAATGAATAAAACTTGGTTAGAAAGGCCTTCTTTAAGAAAGAAGGCTTTTTGAAAGGTAGAAAATTGATTGTCACAAATGTACGTATGAATTTATCAAAACTGAGTAAGTGTAAGGACCTCTTGAGGAAGGAAAAGTTAACATTTTAAGTAGCATTTCATCCTTGAACTTTGATTTCTATTTCATAGTTCAAACAATAATTAGTACTTGTACGGTATATAAAGGTACTTGCTAAGCAAATTATATGAGGAAAATATTGTTTTTCTTCAAGTATACAGGTAGCAAAATATACAGATAAGCCCAGGAATGTATAAACCCTTGCATACAATCCCCGGGCATAAATAAGCACCTGGCTACGGCCCCTTGGCTATAAACTAGGTTGGGCTGCCCTTACTTTGTTGTGTGTGGCTTCTTTCCTTCAGTCTTGTGCGTGTGAGTGCATCTGCATCACTGCACATATAGGCGGGACTTACAGAGTAACTGTAATTTGTGGCAGTCCAGAGGTGCCACTGACATACAGTTGACATGCTAACAAGGGGTGGTCACCTCCCAGAAATCCACTGGTTCCTGGACAGTTCTAAGCTTCTCTTCTTTGTGGATGTCTTTTTTTCCCTACAAGAACTAAAGGAGGAAAAATGCTGAGTTTCCTAGATGCACTGTGGTTGTGTGTCACGGCACCAGCAGGTGCTCTGGGTCTTGGGAGCTGCATGTGTCTGTCCAACCATGCCTGTGCTCACAAAGATGCTGTCCACTTGGGGAGTAGTGAAGAGCCCTCAAAGAGCTTCCTGGTGACTCTTCTGATGAAACATTGGTGGTTATTAGAAGGGAAGAGCAGGCCAGCTCTTAAGTTGCAAAGTTCAGGGGTTTTTTCATTTAGATGTTCAACAAACTCTTAGAGCTGTGTAGACATCCTTCTGAGCAGCAGAGCAAGGTCTGCCTACAGTAACTTTATACACAAAAAAGTGTGAAGATTTTGTTGTTAGAGAATTATGAAAATGAACAATAAGCCTTTTTTTTTTTAACGTATGGCCAAAGAACACTTTCCCTTGGTGGAATGTTTTGTAACCAGTATCAGTCTGTTCTGCAGCTATTTCCACATTAATGTGGGCTTTGTAGAAATGAAGATGCTGCATGGCTTTTGCAAAGCTTTTAAGAACCCTCTTTCAAAAGGGAGCTTCTGTGATTCAGTTGAACTATTGGCAAGGACTAGACCTCACATCAGAAAGACTCTCCATATCACCAGTTACAAACACAGAAATTGCTGTTCTTGGGGAGCTTACAGTGGGCTAGCAGAGTGGCCATCAGTCTCAGGTTTGACTCAGATGGTGACAAGTGCTTTGTTTTTGGTGTTTGCATTGTTTGGCTCTCCTGTGCTCACTATCTTGTGCCCTGGCCTCCTGGGCTTCCTCTGGCTTTGGATCATCTGCTGAAAGCAGCCACAGGAAGCCAAGGCCAGAGCATCCTGTTGTTAGCCTGTGTTGGGGTGAGACTGCTTTCTGTGTGTTTTGTTTTATTCTTTTGTTTTGCTGTACTGAGGCTTAAACCTAGTGCTTTGGGAGAGCCAGGCAAAAACCCTATCATGAGCTATACCTCCAACATGGTGAGACTATTGAAAATACTGTCTATTGAATCATCAGTTACTGAGGAAAGTAACTTTTCAGAAATATAAAGTATGTTCTCATCCATACTTTTAAGCATGTGATCTGGAAATTGTGTGCTGTTCTCCTTATATTCCGACCACACTGTTATTGTTTAAAAGAGGATGAGCCTGTGTTAATGATCTCTGGCTTTCTCTGTGGGTGCCTGAAATGAAAATGTGCAAAGAGTGACCTTTGCCTCGTGGCTCCTTACTGTGCCTGTGGCTCATATGTGCGTCCTTCTCCTTTCTGTCATGCTTCCCTTGCCCTGGATGTGGCTGGTGCACTGGGGTCACCTTAGACCACAGGAAATGTCTGGTTAACACATGAAGAGATGGAAACACTCGCAGCCACATCTCAGATGGTCAGTCAGCCCTGCAGCTCATGTTCCAAAGTGGGTTTCCTACTCCAGACCAAAGGGCCCTTTGTCTTTTGTTGAAAACAAAAGTTAATTTGCATTTGTTTCAAATATAATGTGTTCTTTTTAGGTTATTAGCTCTTAGCGTATTTGCATTTTTTAGATTTTTACAAGAATTTAGTTTATAGATTTGCCCCATTTAGAGAAGATGTAATTTGCTTCTCCTTTTGGAGAGACCTCCATTGAGCACTGCGTTGTGGTTGTCTAACACCAACAGTCTACTGTATGAGGTTAGTTGGCATGGAAAAAGTCTGCTCCTTGCATGGAAAATTGAAATTCTTGGATTTTCATGAGTTTTTGCATGAGGCATTGATATTTTGAATGTTTTTCACTCAGTCAAGGTGCATGTTCCCTGCAGAATTAATTTGCTTACACTACTAAAGTTCACTAATACTAATAGTTATGTTCTTTTACATTCCTAACAACCTAACATCAGGAAGATGAGGAGGGAAGCTGGATAAGGTTGGAGTCTTTCTATAATATTTCTTCACTCTGTAGCAACAAAAAGCAATTGAGGATGTAAACTTGTGTGACCTGCTTTAGTAGGTGTTTTTCACACCTTAATTTATTCATAGTATCATTAATGACTTGAAGAATGTAATCAAATAAATCACAGGATTAAAGATTACATCTCATGGATAATTTTGAACATTTCCCATATGGGATCATGGAAATTACTTTGAACGAAGGTTGTTTTATTTATGAATAGAATCTTTTATACAAAGTCCCCTGGTTTAGGCAACTCCTGAGTTTATGTACATGTAGTTCGTTGCTGGGTTAGTTTTGTTCTAAAATGTACTGCTGAAAAAAATCATGAAATACACTTCTAAACCTGAAAGTTGGCACGGGGCCTTTCCCTCTATGTATTTATATTGTTATTTGACTAAGTACTGCCCTACTGTGTTGAGTTAAAGATCTTAGTAATGGAGTTCTCAGAAATTAAGGCTTATCACTTCACAGAGATTGAATTTCAGCTGCCTAACTCTTCACTACACAGAAAGCTCTGCCCCATGTTTTACAGTGTCTGAGTCAGATGACTTGGTTAAATTCCCAGCATCCCTCTGCCCTCTTGGGTCTTTGGTGGGCACAGTGCAGTACCAGGGGACTTGTAGTTCTTCAGCTTTTCCCAGGGGCATGGTATTCGGGGGCTCAGAAGAGTTAGCATATGTCTGAAAGCAAGTATAAATGAGTTAAGATTAGAATTTGCTGATTCCAAGATGATGCTTGAAACAGTTGCTTCTGTTTGCATTTCTAAAGGTTATTCAGTTATAGCACTTGGTTGTTTGTTTTGTTTGTTCATTTGAAAAAAAGAGAGGTGGAACTTGGTGACACATATGGGTCATCCCAGGACTTGGGAGGTTGATCAAGCATGTTTGTTGCAAATTTGAGACCAGCATAGGCTACATAGTGAGTTCAAGGTCAGCCTAAACTACATAGTAAAATCCTGTCTCAAAATTACAAAAAGTTTAGAAACAAAAACTAAGAAGAAAGAGAATAGCTACTAACTGGGTTTCCCTCCCTGGGTTTAGATACTCCCTGCCTCTAGAATCACTTAAATTCACCTAGTTAGAGGTCTCTCTACAGGTCCAACAATGACCATCAGTGAATTAAGCAGTGCATTTCATAATTACGTAAGTTTCAATATATTCCAAAAGACAAAGTAGAATATGGTCACCACTTCAATATGAAATAGCATCAGAGACATAAAGTGTAGTTGAATAAGCTTAACATTTGCTTTTTGCAGTGACCATATAAAAGGGGCCCATGCAGAAGATTCCAGATTTACCCCACATGCAATGTTCTGCAGAAGCTTGGTGCACTTTGCCACCATCCTTTCCCAGACAGAGCTGCTAGGACAGAGCTATGCTAGCACAAAGCATTGTGCTTTGCCCGTGCTGGCACTGGGTGGCCTCACTCCTGACTGAGCTTTGGAAGGAACACTCAAGTGTGGTCAGAACTGTTCGCATATCAGATGTAAGATATGACTGGCTGTGTAAGAAGGCTGTGCCAGCTGCCAGGAGCCATTAATGAGCAGGACAGCTGCAGTCCCACTCTCATGGAGCTCGCATTTTACTGACCTTGAGACTGAGCGTGACTTGTCCATGCTTGGAGCATGAGGTCCCTTTGCACACTTCTTCAGAAGGCTGTGGTGGCAGCCAGGGAGAGGAGGAGGCTCTCCCTCAAACTGAGTCTGAGCTGTCAGAATCTGCATTATCAGCAACTGCAAAAGTAGTAAACAGAGATATGGAGGGTTTGCTTCCGCACAGCTTTTTATTTGGAAGATTTCTTCTACTCATTAGAAGAGAGCATAGTCAGCAGGCCAGAAAACATCAAATATTCAGGCTGTGAATCCCAGGCCCATGAAAGTATGACTCAAAGGACTGCATCATGGTAACATTGTTAGGTATCTTAATGGTTACCATAGTGGTATATTTGTCACTCATCATTTAAAGAAAGTTATGAAATCTTTTCTGTTAGAATTGGAACATTCCTCTTAGCTGAGCCATCCCTTGTATCTTGACTGGAACAAGTAAAATACTAGAGTGGAATCCATTGTTCTAAACCAAACATGGAGGCCATGCATGGTGGTTTATGACTGTAATCCCATAACTCAGGAGGCTGAGGCTGGAAGATATCAACTTAGAGACCAGCCTGGGCCTAGTGAGACCCTGTTGTAAGGGGTTGGGGATGTAGCTCAGGTTAGAGTGCTTGCCTAGCAGGTATGAAACCCTGAGTTCAAGCCAGGAGAGGATGGATGGGAATGGATAGTTTTTATTTTAAAGGATTCCTCAATGTACCTTAGGATTCCTGTGAATGTAATTTAATCTTCCTTAGCTGGAGAGCATAACGAACCATTCTCTGTGAAGTGGTTGTATATCATGTCTATTTTTCATTGTACAGACCTTGGACATATTCTGTTGAATTGGTTGCTAAGTATTTTATGCAGTTTAGTGCCATTATATAAGATACTTCTAAAATCTCAATTTCCAGTTCATTTTGTATATTTAGAAATGTTAATTTTTGTGTATTCATTGTATATTCAGCAGCTTTGCTAAATTCATGTATAAATCCTAATAGCTATTTCATAGACTTTTTCAACAATGATAATTGTGTCATTTACTAATAAAGAGAGGTTTATGTCTTTCTCAACTCATGCCATTTTTATGTTTTTCCTGCCATTACAGTGGCCAGGTCTCCAGCACAGCCAAACATAAACGGTGACAGTGGACGCCCCTTGTGCTTCTTTCCGTTCAGGGAGACATTTGGTCCCTCATTGTGAGGTTTTTAGCTGCAGGCTTTTGGTAGATGACCCTTAATAGATTGAGGCGGTGGGTCTTTCGTCCTAGAATGCTGAGTTTCATAACTGAATGATGGATCTTGTGCCACATAAGGTATTATGAGACATGGCTTTCTTTGCTGATCTCGTAATTGGGCAAATTTCATTGATTTATTTTTTTCCTCCTCAGTTGGTGAACCAACCTATTCCTGAGTCAGTAAACCTACTTACCATGATTCCTTATTTTTGGTGTAGTGCAGACTAGTCCCAAACTCGAAATACTTTTGTCTCAGCCTCCTGAGTGCTGGGTTTACAGGCATGCACCACCATACCACACCACAAAAAAGTACGTCCTGAAGCCAGATGTGATGATGCACCCCTGTAGTTGCCAAAACTCAAGAGACTGAGCCCAGAAGTTGGCTGTTATAATGTCCTATGACAATTGGGCATTAAACTAAGATGGACATCATACTAAGAGTGGCATCAATATCTCTTTGCATAGGGAGTGCTTGTGCATAGCCACTGCACTCAATCCTGGTAATATAATGGGAATCTCTGTCTTTAAAGGTTGTGGGGAGGGGCTGGGGATTTAGCTCAGTGGTGCAGCACCTGCCTTGCAAGCATGAGGTCCTGAGTTCAATTCCCAGTACCCCCCCCAAAAAAAAGAAAGGAAAAAGTGTAAGTTATATCTGGGTCAGATTGATTGACAGTATTGTTTTTGTCCGTAGCCTTCCTGATTGTTTTCCTTTTCTTAGTCCTTTTTGGTTTTTTGATTGGCACATTGAACCAGTTGTTAAGAGAGGAGTGTTGAAGTCTTCTAAATTTAATTGTATTTTTCTGTTTTTGTTCTTAGTCTCATTAGTTGTTCGTTTATCATTTTAAATTTACTTTTCCTGATTTTCAAATACACTTGTCATTTAGGAAGACAAAGTATTAAAAATAAAATCAAAACCAGCTAGAGCTCATTTGAATGATTTGAATTGATTCTTCAAACTTGTTCATGAGTCATGATCATTCTTTATTCCTATATTATTATATTGAAAACTAATTCAGAAAAGGAATTTATAGACAGGTATGATTTTTCTATAGCTTGGTAAATTGTCCTAAATGAGTCATAAAATTTTGCCAATATGATTTCTGTTGGATAAAACTTTAGGAATTTGAAAAGGTAGGAATGGGAGACCAAATATTTAGAAATTATGAAAAGCAATGTTGTCATTCATTTAGCCTTTAAGAATGTTGTCTAGATTAAAAATCTGAACTGATGTCACTCATTTGTTGAAATCAGACACTTGCATATGGGGACATGGACCACGAGTGGATTGGCAATGAGTGGCTGCCCAGCCTGGGCCTACCTCAGTACCGAAGCTATTTCATGGAGTGCCTTGTGGATGCTCGGATGCTGGACCACCTGACCAAGAAAGACCTGCGGGGGCGGCTGAAAATGGTTGACAGTTTTCACAGGTGAGGCAGTGCAAGTGGTTCTTCCTAACGGATCAAGAGACTTCACATTGCCACCGTTAAATAACCCCTTATTTTGTAAATAGGAACAGCTTCCAGTGTGGACTTATGTGCCTGAAAAGGTTAAATTATGATCGGAAAGAACTGGAAAGAAGAAGAGAAGAAAGTCAGGATGTAGTTAAAGGCAAGTACATTATGCCGGATGGATGCAGCACATGCCTGCTGCCTCCCAGGCAGCCTGGGTGATTGCCTGTTTGAAAAAGTATAGCAGCCAGCTGAGCTGGCACATACCTGCAATCCTAGCACTCTGGGAGGATATAGCAGCAGAGTCACAAGCCTAGCCCAGGCAGCTTGGACTCCGTGAAACCTTCTCTCAAAATAAAAAGTATAACAGGGCTAGAGATGCAGCTCAGTGCAAATCCCTGTGTTTATTCCTGAGTACCTCAAAAAGAAATCAAGGGCTTAGTGATAAGGCACTTGCTTACCACTTGCATTGCCCTGGGTTTGATCCCTAGGACTGAAAAAAAAAAGCACAAAATAATCATACATTTATCTGGGAATTACACAAATTACAGTTCCAGCTACTAAGAATACTAAGGCAGGAAGATCACAAATTCAGGGCCGACCTGGCAATTTAGTGAGACCCTGTCTCAGAACACTAAAACTAGATTTGAAAATTAGGGGTGCTAAGAATGTAGTTCAGTGAAAAAAGACTTGCCTAGCATGCTCAGGGCTCTGGCTTCTGTCTCTAGTACCACAAAAAAATAAATCAGGGAAGACTTTTAAGTGGAAACAACTGGCTTGGCATGATAACAAGAGGAGGGATGAAAAGGGGTGCCCTGAGACAGTGTGTGCTTATCTCAGTCTGTAGGCTACCCTCTTGGTGCTGGCATTCTTTCATGTAGTTTTCCTTTTGTTGTTGTACACTGTATACACTCTCTCAGAGATGCTGCCTTATGCTATTAGATCAGAGCAAGGCAAACAAGCCACTGCCTTTTGCTTACTGGATAGAGGTTAAAACTACAGCTTTGGGAGCTTTTTCTAAGGCCTGTAGCAGCATGCAGGGCACACAGTTCTGCTCCCAGAGGGAGGGAGAGGTCAAGGCAACCAATAGCCTAGCACCCATAATTTTGTAATTTATTTATTTATTTTGAGACAGAATTTCACTAAGTACCCTGGTCTGGGATTACACCTGTGACCCTCCTGCCACAGCACCCATACTAACTGGGGTTGCAGTCCTTACAGAAACCACAGAGTGTCCTGTGGGCAAAGGAAAGACATGTCAGAAACAGGCCAGGAGGAAGGAGAGGGCATGGCAGCCCCCTCAGTATGACAGGGACAGGCATTTTCTCTGAAGACAACACTGAATGTCATGCTCACGAGAGTCTCTCAGAATTCTCGGTAGTTACTAATAGCACTGCAGTGATGAGAAGAAATGAGACTTACTGAATAATGATCAAGCACTGTGTCAAGTCTTCCATAGTTGATTCATTCAGGCTGCATCGTGGTTCTGTTATTTTCATCCTCATTCTGATGTCTTTTTCTAAATAAAATAAAGGATTATCTATTGGCCAGGGATGTAGCCCTGTGGTAGGACACTTGCCTAGTCTGTGCAAGGCCTGGGTTTTAATTCTTTTAAAACAAAGAATACGTTGAGGTCTATTTAGAAAAGAAAGTCATGGCCGGGGATATAGCTCAACAACAGAGCGGCTGCCTGGCAAGTGCAAGGTCATGAGTTTGATCCCTGGTACCAAAACAAAGTTGAGAAAAAAAATCAGACATGAAATGTATTAATCCACTTAATTTGTTTTCTATATCCCCTCTCCATATTTTGTCAGTTGGCAAAAGCAGTCTTTGAAAAGATTGGTGGTCAGATATATTTTTACAGAGTGGCAATTTTTTGGTCTGTAATAGAATACATTTAATAATTATCTTTGTATGATATACGATTGCCAAAATCTAGTATGCTGGAATGTCTTTAAAATTCTTTCTTTGTAATATATTAAGATGTTGATATGACCAAAGCTTCAGAAGCACAGGGGCTGGGGTATGGCTCAGTGGCTTAGCACCTACCTGGTAAGCACAAGGCTCTGAGTTTGATTCCCAGTACAACAACAAGAAAAAGTAAAAGAAAACGAAGGTCAGAAGGTCAGAAGCAAAGAGTTTGTGTTGAACTCAGCAAGGTATCTGAACTGTCATGGTATCTGCCCCTTTCATGATGGAGAAGCATTTCAGGAGACTCTGGGGTCTGTGTAGGAAACATGCTTATACGTGCTAGGTCTGACTCTGACCCTCAGCCTGATGTTTTTGCAGTCTTAGGATTGAACCCCAGGCCTTGTACATACTAGGCAAGTGATCTGCCACCAAGCTACATCCTCAGCCAATCATGCTGTATTGTTCCCTGAATATATCCTATCCACAATCTTACTGTGACACCTGAGTGCACTAGGGGAGGCTTCTAAAGGGAAAGTTTTTATTAGAATGAGGCAGAACCAAAACAGCTGTGTCTAGGTGTGTGTCTGTCAGTATTTGTGAGTGTGGAGTCCATTTTCAGGAGCTGAGGGATCAAGATCCATGCTAGGAATCTTTCCCCTGCATTGCAGGACATGTATGATGAAGAGGTTTTCTGAAGCCACATTTACAGTTGTTTTGTTCTTTCACAGATGTGCTTGTTTGGAGCAATGATCGAGTGATTCGCTGGGTCATATCCATTGGCCTTAAAGAATATGCAAACAACCTCATAGAGAGTGGGGTTCATGGCGCACAGCTGGCCTTAGATGAAGCCTTCGATTACAACACATTGGCCCTGTTGTTACAGATCCCGACAGAGAACAGAAAGGTGACAACGGAGTCTGTGCCTCTGTCTGCTTAGCCACAGTGTTCGGTTTTTCTGTGGTTCTAGAATACTTATTTTTCATTTGAATGGAGAGAAAATTTAACTCTAGACAACTAGTAATCACTTTCCATAACTAATCTATAATATGGTAGTTCAAAATAAGCAAATGCTTGATTTTTCACTATCTTTTCTTTCCAGTTTGTGTTGCAAGCATGTGAGTCTTTGAAGTCTTTGTTTTAAAAAATTGTAATGTGTAACATCCTTCAGATATATTTAGTTGTTGTTTTGTTACTTCAGGCTCGAAATGTCTTGGACAAAGAATTTGCCGACCTTTTGGTCCTTGGGACTGTCAGACGTTTTGATGTCGTAAGTTTTCAGCTTTTTTCTCCTCTCACTGCTAGGAATCAACCTCAGGGCTTCACATATGCCAGTTGAGTGCTCTACTACTGATCCTTGCTCTTGGTCCACTACTTAATTTTTGGCAACCTTCAAAAATTATTTCTATATTGTCAAACAGATTGCAGCCTGCGATCAAAGTCTTAAGTTGTGTTTTGGTGACAGCTGACTGTCCTGCCCCAGTTCTTCTGTTTGGAAGGTTTCTTTCAAAAGTATATTAAATTTCCCCTCATGCTAAATCATGACTAACCTGTTGCCATACATTACGATTGTCTTCAGTGAGCTCCAAGAGTACTTGATTTTCACAAAGAAGATGGAAGCTGAATCTGGAAGCAAAGCATTTGTTGGATTATTTGTAGCCAGAATATTTTGAAAATAAATAAAAGTACATTATATAGCAGGCAAGAGCTTGTCCACAGTAAGAAATAAAATATTCTGATGGGTGAGAAAATCACATCCCTGGTGCCCAGGACTGCCCTCGTTTCTCCAGTTGGGGCCCAGCAGGAATGTAATCATGTTTCCTCTCACACTGAAGTTCCAGTGTGTGCAGCACATTGGAAGGTCACCAGGAAAGGCTAAGTAAAGCAAAACAGTCAGGGGCTTAGGAGTCCTTCTGAAGGACAGTTATCTTTATTAGAGTGTGCCTGTTCTGTGTTTTCATTTGCCAGGAGGATGACAAACACTTTAGGAGAGCACCTTCATGGAGAGAGAAGGTTAGAGAAAAGGCCATTCACGGCGTGGCAACTGGGTCATCAGAGACACTCCCTGCAAACTTCCGAGTCTCTTCTTCCAAGTCTTCCCGCTCTGTGCAGCCCAATGAGATCCAGATGGATGGTATGTGGTGGGCCATGTAATGCAACACTGGCTGGGAGCATGTGCGCGCTAATAATTACCTAGAGTGGCCATTGTATGTGTTACAAAGCATCTGAGTTTGGTTGCATGCCCAGGTGTCAATGGTTCAGGATTAGCCCTAACATTTGTTGGAAAATGGTTAACAACAATAATAGAATTTTTAAAAAATCTGTCTGGTTGAACCTTAGCATCCTTGCCCAACTAATAAAGTGGAGCACCCATCTGTGCTCTCAGGGCTGAGGCTGATGCACCTGTGGGGTGCAGTGTGTGGCAGGCAGCACTGGCTTGCCAGGAAAATTGCAGTGTGACACTTGGGACTTCTCTCCACACTAGAAGAAATGGCAGAGTAAACTTTAGCTCACAACTTCCAGGTTCTGCCAACTCTGTCTTTCCTTTTCCCTTCCCTCCAGTGTTCTCTTTCCATATACTTACCTTGTGCCACCTGAAGAGGGACAGGGAAGAAGGCAGAAGCCTTGTGGAGACCGCTAGGGCAGCCCTGCTGCCTTCTCAGTGAGAGATGGCAAGGCATTGACCTTTCCAGTGCAGTCGGGATGGCCCTTATGTAACTGCTGACTGAAGAGTGCAGTTGGCTGAGAGGAGACCTTGAGTCCCTGACAGTCCTGCCCACCTAGTAAAAGGCACTGATAGGGTCCTGAGAGAGCCCACATCCACATCCAGCTCTTGTGGTAGCAGGGACATGACCTTGAGCAAGTCATGCAGCTGTGCTGTGCCTCAGTTTCCATATCTGTAACTTGGGCATCATAGTAATGTGATTTTGATGCTTCAATGTGTCATGTGGGTGAAGCTGATGGAGTCCTGAGCCTCGTGCATTGCTGACAATCTCAGTGCTAGGTGGAGACTTCATTCCTTCTCATCCCTGATGTACATGGTTGTGCTGTATAAACTGTACCAGTGGGGTTTTTACAAGTTTCCTGTTGTTAGCCCCCTGTGTAGGTAGTTTTCCTTTTTTCTCTTTCTTGCCTGTATGAAAATCAGAGAAAAATACATTTATATAAACTTTTTAAAGCTGAACACTTTCCAGTGTGTCTTTTAACTAGTAAGTTCTTAAGAATTAACACTTTCTCCCTCAAGGTGTCTTACAAATGTTGGCAAGGCATGGAAGTGCATGCCTGTAATTCCAGTACTTGGGAGGCTCAGGCAGGAAAATCATGAATCTGAGATGTATGTGAACCATAAATCCAGGTTAAGGCTATACTGAGCTTCATAGGAAGACCTTGTATCATAAATAAAATAGATAAGTAAGTAAGCTGTGACGGGCCTTGAGCTTAATTTCCATTGGCTTACTAAATAGTCTAAATGAGTACTCTGTTGTTTTCCCTGTACCTTCAATTTCTGTTTCACTATAAGAATCACATTTTCTCTCTGAACATTGCAAGCAATATTAACATAGCTGGGTGTGGAGATCCCCTGTAATCCCGGCACTGGGGAAGCTAAGGCAGGAAGGTTGCTGAGAGCTCAGTACCAGCCTCGAATTCACAGGGATTGTAGGGCCAGTGTGAACTACACAGGGAGACCTTGTTTCAACAAAACAAAACAAAAATAAAGGGTAGTATTAATGAGTTTGTTTGTTGTTGATTTGTTTTTTTGGTGGCATTTTTGTGGTTGTGGTTGTTGTTTTGGGGTTTGGGGTGGTACTCGGGAGGGAGCCTTCTACCTGTACTACACACCACCCCTTCTTTTATTATCCAGAAAGGGTCTTGTTAAATTGTCCAGGCCTGGTTTGAACTTGGAGTTTTCCTGCCTCAACCTCCCAGAGTGCTAGGATTACAGGCATGTGCAGGCAAACTGTGTAACACTAAATTTAAATGGATTGAATAGAAAAAGTTGTCAGGGTAAATTACATAGAAGATGTCTATGCCACATTGGTAAGAAGGTGGACTGTTACAAATGACTTGCGAGGTGGAGAGTATAAGATAAATTACAGCATGTCTCCTAGACTTTAGAATGAAGGTTTACAATGACTGCCCAGTCTTACCAACACGGCCAGCTATCTGTCTTTTCTAGAGCTATGGCAAGATGTTGCTAAGAAGTATTCCTGGTATACTTGCAGGAAAACAAAACACTGTACAACTGGGAGTGTAAATATCTGCAGAAGATGTTGCAAGCTCTTTACCCAGTTTGTGACAGGGCTGTACTGCCTGTTTAGCCACCCAGTGTTTGTCAAACAAGGACCCCTGCCTCCGTGTTCTCCATCCTTTTTTGTAGAAACTGAGACAAGCTTTAGTCTTCTGAGAAGCACTGGCCATGGCCTCTGGGCTGTGCCTCTTTGCCTGCAACCCACCCTGAGAGCAGTGCCTGCAGAGCAGCTGGGGTTCCCTCCTCCCCTTCGTGCTGCTGATTCACCCCATTCATTCCTGGAGGTCTAGCTGTAGGGCACAAGGAAAAGTCCAGTTGCTATATCAAAGTGTGGCTTAAGGAGCTGCAGAGTAGCTATGTTAGGTGGTTGTCCTCTCTGTATGTGCACACTGAGGTGGTTTGCACTTCCAAGGGGCCCTATTGCTATTTTAGGTGCCAGTGTCCCCTTGGGTGGTGACAGAACCACTCTGGGCAGCCCTCTGATGCTCTTGCCTCACTCTCCCAGGCAGTCTTAGGATTCCTCAGTAGACACCATTGTAGGTGTGGAGATGTGTGTCTTACCTGTGCCCCGTGTGAAGTGTTAAAACTAACAGCACTTTGTTTTTGCACACTTCCTCTCATGGTTGTTGGAACAGGCAGTGTATCAGAAACACAGAAGTTGGATTCTGCGACAACCAGGACTTCCTCCTGTTAAGCCTCCTGTTGGTGAGTAGAGAGCAGCGTAATCCCTGGAGATCATCCCTGTACAGCAGGGTGAAGCTGTAACAGGGCTAACAGTGTGGGTTTAGACCATGCCAATTTACATGGGGAACTTCAAAATGACAGAAATAGTAGCTCTGTACCCATCAAGGCGATTTTGGTTTTTAGCTGACCATAAAGAGGGCTGTGTGTCATTTTTGTTCTGTTAACTTTTATTTTTATTAGTAAGTTAGTTGTACTTAAATTCATCATGGAGAGTTGGTACCTGTACTAGGACATCTTAAATCTTTTTACCTCCCCTCTCCTGTCTCCCTTGTGTCTCCAGTTTTAAAGAAAAACACGTTCGTTCCCATTTTTTCCTAAAAGCTAAAAATGCCTACTCACTTGAAGTGATGATCTGCTGATGCCATTGTTGGGGGGTGGGCAGGAAAGCAGCAACTGAGGAAAAAAGCACCCCAAAAGCTGACCACACCAGGAGGCCAGAGCCTGAGATTGGGAAGCATCTCTTCCACTGTGTTTATACACAGTGGTACACAGCTCCTATACTGGCTTTGTTACAAACACACATGTACGCACACATATATGGGGAATTGAACCCAGAGTGTTCCCACTGTGCTATATCCCTAGCACCCCATCCCCTTTTTAGTGGGGACAGGGTCTTCCTAGATCATCTAGTCCTTGTTCAAACTTGCAATCTTTCTGCCTCAGCCTTCTGACATACGGGATTGCAGACGTGCCACCATACATGGCAGACATTTTAAACACAAAGCTGCATTGCCATGCCTGGGCGCCAGTGAGCCACTTGTGTCCTCATGGTCTAGAGCTCTGACTGACTGATGGCAGAGGTGTCATTGACCCGTGATCAGAACCCCAGCTGGAGCTCTGCCTACTGTGCTTGTGTTCAGTGCCTCAGCTGGAATCTGGGATGGGCTCCATAGTCTTTTAACTTTAACTTTTAAAACTGTCACAAAATGTAAAACCTCTCTAGTCCATGAGCAGGGTCCTCAGTGTTCTGTCTGCTGACGCTCCAGCAGGGAGGAGGCAGGAGGCCTGGGGAAGTGGGCCCCAGCGTGTGTGTCTGAAGTCATGGTCCTTTTCCAGGTGGTTTGTGTTAAGAGAGGCTTTCTGTTTGTTTTTATCTTCCAGTTTTCCTGCACTACTTCTACAGATGATATGCAGCATTTTGAATCCAACAGAGACTACGTTTTTTAATTCAGTTGAATCGCTATCTGTTAATACTTGTTATATGGAATCCTAAGATATTTTATAACAGAGTTTGTAATTAGTCAAAAATTCATCAATAACATAGAGAAAATATTTTAGAATTTAATGTTTCTTCTATTTTTGTAAACTTAGGACTTTTCATTTATATAGTTACTTACTTTTTCATCTATGTTTAGGCTATAAATATCTCTGGAAGCAATTCATGTTCTTATATCTAATTTTAGTCTTTCAAATGAATGTACTGTAATGCTTGTATGTATAAACCCTATGAACAAATACATGGCTTTTGTAAATTGTGCACATATTGTAATTATTACTATTTAACTTTTTAATGATAAGCCATCCCTGAAAAAATTAGTTTACTACACTTTTTTTTGTCTTTTTTTTTTTTTTTAATTTTGTTACTTTTTTTTTTTTTTTTTTTTTTGGTCTTTTTCCTTTTTATTGGTACCAGGGATCGAACTCACGACTGCCTGCTTCCAAGGCAGGTGCTTATGCCGCTGAGCTAAATCCCCAGCCCCTTTTTTTGTCTTTTTTGTTTTTATCGGCACTAGGGATCAAACTCAGGACTGCCTGCTTGCAAGGCAGGTGCTTATGCCACTGAGCTAAATCCCCAGCCCAGTTTACTACATTTATAAAATTGTTGTGACATAAGCAATGTGCATTATCCTTCACCTTGCTCTACATCAGTCATTTTAAAATCAGGAGACTTCATTCCAAGCAGTTGTCATATTTTGAGGTTGACTGACCTTAACTGTTCTTTTTTTAGCAAGAAATCAGAGTCTAATAAAGTCAGGACTGAACCGTTGCACCAGAGCACTATAGAACTTTCTTAGCACTGGTTCCCTTTTCCCCATCCTGTCTCTGGACTTGGGGAGCTTGTCTTCAGAGACTTGACCAGAAGCCATGAGCTTGGAGCTGCTCTCAGCAGGGCTGGAGTGGCCAGGGGTGGACCCCAGCCTGGCACCTTCCCTGCCTCTTTCCTGTGAGCATGTGGAAGGTGCCTCCAGCTATTCTTAGAGGACCAATCACTGAGCACTGTGCTCACATCTCACAGACATTGGTGCATGAGCAGATGAGAGCAGGAAACCCTGAAAATAAAGTTGTACAACTCTAACTAATCAAGGCCTTATTTTTCATATGTCAGTCACCTTTTTACATTGGTTTATAAACATGTTTCAACTAGTCATACATTTTTAGATTTTGATGACATAGCCATTTTGGATTGAACAAGTAGCAAAAGCAACTTGCTTTTCACTGGCATATTAAAAAGCCAGCAAGGAAGGAGTCAGATCAGGGTGCATGTTATTTATTGTGCAACTGATACATGGGTAGAGGCAGCATGCCTTTTTAATTTAGTTTATGCAGGGGCTGGGGATTTAGCTCAGCGGCATAAGCGCCTGCCTTGCAAGCAGGCCATCGTGAGTTCGATCCCTGGTACCGATAAAAACGAAAAAGACAAAAAAAAAAAAAAAAAAAAAAAAAAGAAAGAAAAAAAAATAATTTGGTTTATGCATACAATTCACTTGTACAATCCATATTACTGCCCTTTTTCTATTAATTTTTGTGGAATTTTCTGAGTATGTAACAAAGTATACAGTCATATACATATATATACTTTTGAACTATTTTAATCACAGTATTATTTATTGCTTTCTTTCAATAAAGTTCTGAATCATTTTTCACTGCCAATGAAGAGTTCTTTGAATAGGCCAAGATTTTGTTAAAAGTTAAGTGCGGCTGGAGTGTGTGTGTGTGTGTGTGTGTGTGTGTGTGTTACCAGACATCGAACTCATAACCTCATGCTTGCCAGGCAGGCACTCATGACACTGAGCTAAATCCCTGTCTCAGGCACAGCTGTTTTGCTTCCTGCTCCAGGCAGGTTCTCTGAAGGTAGTGTCGCTATGGAAATCACCGGACAGAAAGCTGGATGACATAAGTGTAGCTGGGCATGAGGCAAGAGAAGATGGGGTCCTGCTGAAGATTGGGCCTGGTTAGACCAGAGCGGGGAGGCGCCCCCAGCACAGTTGGGGGTGGGACACTGACAAGCTCAGCTTTGCCTGCTGTGTCAGACCCTTTGTTCATACAGTGTTACCCTCCTGTTTTCAAGTTTCACATGGCGCATCTCAGAGTAATCATGGGTTTGAGCTCTTGGTTCTCAGCCTTTTTCCCTGCAAACTGTGTGTTTTTGAATGGGGTTTGCAGAGCAGAGAGAAGAGGCCAGACTCTCCAGCGTTCCTTGGTGTGTCCCTGGGTGGTAGGTGAGTAGATGGTCCATATCCTAGTGCTATTGCTGCTGCTATTCTGGACACCCACATATCACTTAATGCATTTCAAATATCCCACATGCATTTATGTCTCATTTCCTGGCCTTAATTCCCTAGTGACAATGATTAGTCAGTGATTTTGCCTTCCAGTCATCTGTCGTATTTCATGAGGGAATTTACCCCAAGGATCCCAAGAGCCATGGCTGCTCGGGCCCTGGTACCTGACGCTGGGACCCCACGGTGAGCCCTGCTTTCCCCACAAAAACAGGTCCCAGAGACTGAGACAACTTGTCTCCAGCTTCCAACCCCTAGCCTTCATTTTCCTGGTCCTCCTCCCAAATTCACATTTTGGGGGGGTGGTGTCAATGTTTCACTATCTTTTTCGTTTACCTTTAAAATTATGACTTTTTTTTTTCTTTTGGAGACAGAGTCCACTATGCAGTTCAGGCTGGCCTTGACCTCACAGCTGTCCTCCCACCTCAGCCTCCCCAGTGCTGGAATTACAGGAGTGCGGCACCCTGCCCAGCTGTGTTTATGAGTTTTTATGGCTCTGCTGTAGTTCTAAAGTTTGCTACCTCTCATCGATGACTTTAGACCACTTACATTTAGTATTACTGATATTATTTGAGTACATCTACCATTTTATTTTTTATGCATTTGTATTTAGTCTATAGTGCCTTTCCTGAGTTCTTTTTTTTTTTTTTTTTTCTGGTCTTTTTCGTTTTTATCGGTACCGGGGATCAAACTCACGACTGCCTGTTTGCAAGGCAGGCGCTTATGCCACTGAGCTAAACCCCCAGCCCCCTTTCCTGAGTTCTTTTGGGTGTTTTGGCCATTTTTATCGTTCCATTCAAATCCTCTTTCATTCAGCGTTTGGCTATGGAAAAACAAAGACTAAATCTCAGCCTCTGCCACAATAGCACGCTAATCGTGCAGTCTCACAACATGCAGGGGACATGCGTGTCACTCCACATGCACCGCACTGCCGAGGCCCGCCTTTGACAGAAACGCCAACCCGCGTTTAAGGTGGTTTCTTTGGCAATCCTCAGGCAGCTCTTGCTAGATGCCAGGCTGGTTCTGAGAACTTTCCAGGCTACCCAGAGTTGGTATTTGCCACTTTGAGTTGAGCATAAAGATCTTAACCCCATGCCAGCGCCTGTTAATGCATTTGTCATCATGTCAGAGGTACACAAATCAAAAGGTCCTCAGAAATGCCACAGTTTTCACTCTCAACCCTTGTACTGGAGGGAACTTCGGACGGAGAAGTCTGGTGTAGTGATCCACAGAGCACTCCCCTGTCACAGCAATGCCCCCGGCTTCCTTCCAGTGTATTTCCCTCTGCCCAGGAGCGTCCTATGGGATTGCTGTTAGAGTCACTTTGCTGGCAATGACGTCCTTCAGTTTTTCTCCACCTGAGGACATCTTTCATTCACCTTTATTCCTAAACAATACCTTTATGGAAGATGGAATTTTTGGCTGGGCTTTATTTTTTTTCTTGTAGCACTTTAAAAATATCGTTCCACTTCATGATTTCTGATGAGAAATCTGCAGTCAGAGCTGGGCGTGGCGGGGTATGTCTGTAACCCCAACACTCAGGAAGGCTAAAGCAGGAAGGTCATTAAATCTGAGCCTGGTGTTGACAACTTAGTGACTTAGTGAAACCCTGTCTTTATTTGTTTAGTTATTTATTTTTTTTATTTTTTAAAATGCAACCTTCAGGCTGGCCTTGAGCTCACTTTGTAGATCAGACTGGCTTTAAACTCACCAGAGATCCTCCTGGGTCAGCCTCCCAAGTGCTGAGATTAGAGGCATTCGCCACCATGCCTGGTGTTTCGAGGCCCTGTGTTTAGATTAAAAAAAAATTTTAAAAGGCTGGGCTATAGCTCAGTGTGAAGGCCCTGGGTTCAGTCTCCAGTAACCACACACACACACACACACCACACACCACACCACACCAAAAGTTCTCTCTCTGTCTTTAGCTTTAGTAGTTTGGTTATGACAATTCCTGACCTTATCTTGTTTGGTAACTGAGCTTTTTGAATCTTCAACTGTGTCTTTCACCAAACATGGGGAGTTTTAACCATTTATTTCTGACCAAAATGTTCTCTAACTGTACTCTTTCCTCCTTCCTGACAGGAACGTTAGCTCCTTAGTATTGTACCACAGAGTCCTGAGCTCGTTTCTTCATTGTTTAAATCTCTTTCCTTTCTGTTGTTCAGACTGGGCCGTTTATATTGATCTGCCATTTACATTGTTATTGAGTCTACTGAGGTATTGGGTTTGCCACTGGATTTTGTCATTTCGGTTATTTTTTTATTTGCTTGGTACGGGGATTGAACCAGGACCCTGTGCTTGCCAGGCAGAGCCGTGCGGCTGAGCCAGATCTGTACTGTCATTTTGGCTGTTACACATTTCCTGCCTCTAAAATCTCAGCTTGGCTCTGCGTGTGATTCATCTGCTCCCGCTCCGAGGTGGTCTGTCTCTCTGTTCATCGCTCAGGAGTTTGCCCTTTCTTTTCTGGAGCTGCCTATAATAGCTGCTTTTGTGTCTCAATATCAACTGTTGTATCCTCTTGGAGCTGCTACCTCTTGATTTTCTTTTTGTCTTTTCCCTTTGGAGATACTGAGATTCTCGTTCAGCTCCAAAAGATTCAGTAACTTTGGCTTGTATCCAGACCTTAACAAATAATGTGTCATGGGACAGGATTCTTGTTCAAATCCTATTTGAATACTGATTTTTCACTTGCTTTAGCAGGAGGCCTGCTTGCTGGGGGCCAGGCTGCAGGTTTGTCTCTTCTCAGCTGTGGCTTCAAGGTCACTTCCATTTGTGAGGCTCTGCACTGCTGTCTTGGACTGAAGGCCAAACTGGAGCTCCGTAGCTCAGTTCTGAAATCCCTGGGTATTAGCACAGAGTCAGCTTTAGGGTAAGTTAGGTAATGACACAGGGAGACATAGTAGCCTTCTGTACTTGACTAGAGCAGAAACCACTCCAGCTTGTGATTCTGTGCAAGTACTTTTCTTGTCACCCACTCATTTGCCAATTTTCTGTCTCCCCATCTGCGCACCTCTCTAGGATGTGAGCTTCAGGGGAGCAGCAGCTTTGTGCCTGTGGGGAACCAGGACATCGCACCACCTTTAGGGCTGCCTGGCCCACTGAGCATGCTCTGTAGAGGTTCAGAGTGATTCAGTCTCCCCTCCCAGTCTTCAGGGCTCTGGAGACAGCTGCCTATCTCTTTTCGACTCCTCTTCCTCAAACTCTCGCCCCGTCAACACACGGCTCTACACATCGCTCAGAAGCAATCTCCAGGTTGCCTGGTACCAAAGGGTCAGGCCCAGAGAAAGCCAGAGATACCTGGGGGAAGAGCAGACAGCACTATCTGTAACGGGGATTACTTCCATCGAATGTGTCAGAAAATCCCTTCTGATCCGCTGTGACAGGGAGAGAATTCATTGCTTTGGGTCAGTGAGAAATCCAGAGGTAATACTGGCTCTGCGTGAGACTCGGTCTGCTGACTCAAATGTGCTCCCAAGGTGGGGAAGTTGCAGGTAGAGAAGGACATGAAGGTCGGTCCGTAGGGGCCCCAGACGTCCCCGACCCTGGCTCCCCTGCTAAGGAGCAGGACAAGCTCTCCCTCTCCATGTCTCCCTGGCTCTAGCCTGCTGCTGTCTCACAGATCAAATTCACCCAACTGTCAGATGGGGTAGGCGAGTGTAGCGGGGTGCACTCAGGAGAGGCTGAGTGACGTGGTGTTTGTAGTGTGTATCACAGCTAGGGTGTGCATGAGCTTCAGGCTCCAAAGACTACAGCTGCCAGGAGAGAAGAGGGACTCTGTGGGCGAAGAGCTCAGAAAGCAGGAGCCCTGTGCATTGTGTGTATATGCGTGCGTGTGTGTGTATGTGTGTGTGTGTGTGTGTGTGTGTTTCCCCATTTTGGCCTCCGTGAGAGGACAAAGGTCTGCCAATTTACTTCTTGCTGGCAAAGCTGACATAAATGGGCAGGTGAAGGTCCAATCTGCTTTTCAGACACCCAATGCCACCACGTCCTACTGCACCTTGGTCCAGCCCCACATCGCCCTGTCCTCAGCCTTGCCCCACGAAGTCCATCTGGCTGCTGTGTTCAGATCCCCGGCCTTCAGATGGCGGGTCTGGATTTGAGTCGCTCATTCTTGAGTTTCCCAGGAGGATGTGGGGATTCATCTAAAAATGTGTCTGAATCCACAGGTCCCCAGGGGCAGCTGGGGAGTCAGTCCACAGAGGACATGTCTGGGTAGGAAGAACACTGGCACACTTCTGCTCTGCGTTGCCACAGTGCTACCCATTCCCTGGCCGTGGCACTGTTGGAACTTGAATGTAATGGCAGGACGCAGAGATGGAGGGGTCTTCGAGCCACCTGACTGCTCTGCACAGTGACAAAGCCCTCTGCTGGCAGATAACACCTCCAGCTCTTCACTGAACAGATAGGCTTCTCAGCTGCTCCTGAGCCCACGCTCCTCTGCCAGCTGTCACTGATGGTGCTGGTTCCATTTGGGCTGTTCTGACCTCACACATGAGACCACAAAATCACAGAGCTCTGAAATCGCCCTCCTCTTGGGCTGCCACCCCTCATCACGCTGAGCACCAGGCTCGGGAACTGCGAGGAATTTCACCTGCAGTGGATCTGATAGAGAAACACTCGGCTGGTGCCAAGAGGTCTTGAGGCTGGGGAGGAACAGGTCCTGCCCCATCCCTTGCCACGGTCCTGCAGTAGGGAGTCCCAGCCCCAGGGCAGGCCACAGTGACAGTCACTGCAGGCGCGTCACCAGCATGGGCCGCAGGTCACCCCATTGCTATTCACCCGCCCAGCTCTCAGGTCAGCTCAGGGTGGCCTAGCCTGGCTCATTGACACCAAAGTGCCGGGACTGGTTTTCAGGATGTTTCTGGCTCCTTGACAGCCCCTTCCTGTTTTGGAAGCTAAAGAGGAGCATTTGAAAAAGAGGTCTCATTTTTTTTTTTTTTTAATCCCACCAAGATTCCACTGGTTGAAGAGAAGGTGGTCAATCGGTGGCAGAGACATCTGTCCCCTCTACTCAGACTAACATGCCACGACCCTCAGATTTTGGCCTCAGCGACACTGAAGCTGTTTTCTCTCCAGTCCCTGTACTTTTCTCATGTGTCAGAAACTATGACATTGTCCAGGCGCATGACACATCTTCAGAGCAGCCTGGATGAGTCTGGAAACACACCCTCAGGCCAGTTCATCCTCTCTGACTCCATCCTGGGAAAGGAATCCACCAGCATGGTCAGTGGTTAAAAACAGAAAGGCAGAACCTAGGAAATAAAGGTTCTGCAGAGAAATGAGTCACGGGGGGGGGGGTGTTTCACACAGCCTCCCGTTCCTTCCAGAGAGGGCCTTGGGGATGACGAGACAGCCACTCAGCAACAGTGTAGGAACAAGTCCCTGCTTCTATGGAGGGCATGGTCCTGGGGACAGGAGGGTGTCATCTAGAGGTGTCCCAGGGGGCTATGTAGTGATGGCAAAGGTGTCTTGGGCATCATCAGCACCTCACCTGTCACTGAGGGAAGACAGGAGGGTGGAGGGAGGGGGTCTCCCCAAACTCACTCTCAGAAACATTGTGAAGCCTCTTTTCCAAGGCCAGGTTCTGATGATCACTGCTGTGGCCGGTGACCCTCCATGCCATGCCAATTTCCAAGACTAAGGACTGCGTGGCTTGAGGGTAGAATTTAGGTGTGTCCCCAAACCTCCTGTGTTGGAAGCTTGGTCCCCTGTGTGGTGATGTGAGGAGCTGCCAGGACCCTTAAGAGGTGGGGGAGGGAGGGTTAGGGCAGTTGGTTGGATCTTGGGGTGCTGCCCCCAGCAGGGATGAAGGCAGGTCCCATGGGGGCAGCTCTTGGCAGGGCAGAGCAAGTTGGGGACAAGTGCCCTCCCTGCTCTGTGGGTTGCCATCCTGCCTGCTGTGAACTCTAGTGGCCTTTGCCAGAGCCCAGCGGATACTGTGCCGCTCCCTGAAACTCCATAGCTGTGAGGTAAACACCTGTTTTCTCTGTAAGTGACCCTGCTTAGGTATCTTGTCATAGTGGTAGCAAATGGACTCATACAAGGACCAAGTTTAGGTTAAGGGTTAACTAGGATGTGGTACAGAAATTTAACAACCTGACAGATCTCTAAACATACCTGCCTCTTTTATAGCAGAATGCTGTAAAAAATCTCTAATGGTTCTAAGAGTTGAGGTTACACCCTTTCCCAACCAACCTGTCATACTTTTCTTCAAATAGTGTCCTCAGATTTTATTTGCACACAGTTCTTAAATGCTTGCATCTCATGAAGAGAAAATGACACCCGGTCTTCAGTGTGCATCAGCCGTGCTACCCACTAGCTCTGATCTCAGGCGAGGATCTCATGTGCTGGCCTGGGCACAGCAGTAACAGCAGTAACATGGAGAAAACCAGGTCTTCCTGCTGCAGTGGTGGTGAAGACCACTGAGCCAGCCAGAACAGTGCCAGTCGCACAAAAGGCACTCCATCAATGCCGGCTGGTTCCACTCATCAGCTGCTACCATTAATTACAACAGCAAGGCTGGACTTCTGCCAGCAGCCACAGGTTTATCTGAATGGAGAAAGACCCGATTAGCTCATCTCTGTACTCTGGAAGGGTGAGATAATCCCACTCTCCAGGCTTGATTTCTTTTTTGTCTTTTTCTTTGGCACTGGGAATTGAACTCAAGACCTTTCACTTGCCAGGCAGGTGCTTATGCCTCTGAGCTGTATTCCCAGCCCCTTGATTTCTTTTTGACAGAACACACATATTGATTTTAAAAGGAAAAAATGGCTAATTAGGGGTAAATCATATTTAAATATCAAACTGAATTGAGTGATTAACAGATGAGATCAATTTTGCTAGTAAAACTTGTAAATTTATATATATTGGCTATGAAATTCTTGTCAGATATGTGATTTGGAAATATCTTCTATTTTGTGGGTTGTTTCTGAATAAACATAAACTTGGCTTTTCATAAGATCTGGCTTATGTAGAAATCTGTACTATCAACTTAAAACTTAAGTAGTTGGTTTTTGAAAGTTATCTTCAAATTAAAGTATAACAGTATTCCTTATAAAATTGATTTTATTTTTTAAAAGCATTCATATTATTAGATAAATATATCTTTAAAAATATCATCTGTACAGAAAAAGAGCAGGTCCCAGTCAGAATGGGTCACTCTGGGTTCTGCCACTTGGTGAGAGGCCTCCCCGTGGATCACTCCTCCTGCCTGCACCCAGGAAGTCGTAGGCCTGCTCCGAGAGGTCGAAAGGCTCATGGACTCCGTCCTTGGACAGCAGGGCCTGCAGGGCACCCTGGTTCTCCTGGGTTTGCTTGAGGAAGTCAGCGATGATTTTCCACCGCGCAGCCTGGGTCTCCTCTTCGGCCCACCGGAAGGGGGGCAGCAGCGTGGAGTGCAGCAGCGGGAGCACAAGGTCGTGGTAGACCAGGAGGAAGCTGGCCTTCAGGAGCTCTCTGTCCCTCTGGGGAAACAGCGGCAGCCAGCAAGAGTAACCGTGGGTGGAACACATCATTACGCTTAAGCAGGAGATTCTGACCCTTGTTAGTTAAAAGCCACCTGCAAGGCGCCATGGGAGAGGTGCCCTTTGTGCCTGACAGCTAAAAAGCCACCCCAGAGCACAGCCGGGGGGTTCCCTGAGACAGTCTCCCAGTGTCTCCTTGAGTGTCACACACTCTCAGGAGACCACGGCATTGCCATCTAACGCTGGTGACAAATGTGTGGTTCTGCTAAGATGCAGAGCAAGGTCAGCTGTGTCTACTTAGCCCAGTGACAGCATAGTAGAGACAACTGTCTGGCTTCTGTAAGGGAGGGACAGATGTACACATGGGGTCCAGAGAAAGGAGATCCAGGAGGTAAGGATTCGGTAAAATTCTAGCAGTGCCTGGGCTGGGAAGCGGGGGTCCTGTGGTCCAGAGGGCACCAGAGCCTCCCTGTATCAAGAGGATCCACCCAGCCCCGAGGCCATCAGGCCATGGCCGGGGCACAAGGGGCACAATGGCCGAGGGCAGAGCAATCCGTATGCAGCACTCTCCACCCAAACACTGCCCTGACAACACTGAGGTACTGCAGCCTGCCTTTTAGCAAAGGTCGTGTGCCAGCTGTGGGAAAGGTCATATAGCAAAGGGAAGCCCAAGTAAGCTGTATAAATAAGTCTGTGGTATATTTATATGCTGTGTAAATAAGTCTATGGGATATAGCACCCCCAGCAGTCAGAGTTTTCGGTTTGCTTGTTCTCCCACAACCCTTACTTAGATCAACACTTCAGATAACCAGCACTTTAGATCAGGAAATGGCAAACAGGACCACGGGGAAATGCGTCTGTGTGTACACAGGGCCTCAGAGGTCCGAGGCCAGCCTCAGGCACTTGTATCCTGGCGGCAGAGGACAGTGCTTGTCGCCAGATGTGTGGCCCGCAGGGTGAAATATTTACCACCCGGCCCTTTACAGAAGTCGCCTGCTGATCTTGGGTTAGCGCAGTTGAACCGCTGCTCACAGATCCATGCGACTTCTGTGATAATCACCGTTCTTCTAAGTGACACTAGCGGACCCAGGCACTTGTGAGTATGGGACACAGCCTAGGCCAAACTCATCTTTCCTTGTCCCCATGTGATTTAGTTGTTGGCAGCTGGAGGGAAAATTTTTTTTAAAATCAGGGATATGGGATAGCCAGCTGGAGACTCTGGTTTAGAAATTCCCCCTTCATTTAAATAAACCTCGGTGACCTGAAATGACGTTCTGGAGGCCACGCACACCCTTCTTAGAATATGTCTTTGAAACCGAAATAGCACAGCTACCTGAGTAAGCGGGGCTATGACTTTTTAGCTAAAGAACATGCATGCAACCATAGCACTACAGAAAGTCCCACGTGAAAAATTGTATTACCTTCTCTGATCTTTTCAGTGTGCTTTCTTTCTCAGCCCATGAACTCTACAAAAGCCAACAGAAATATATTAGTTTGAGTATTCACAAATCCTTGCAACACTTGTGCCACTTTATGGTGTAATAAGCTTATGAGCAGGGCTAGCAACGCCACTCGGAATCTACACATGCCAGAAGCGACTCTGTCATTAGGTGTCCACTGCTAAGAGTGTGGAACAGGACTGACTGGACATGTCCATGAAAGATACCTGTGTTTTTTGTTTTGTGTTGTGTTGTTGAGACAGGGCTGTTATGTAGCCTAGGCTGGCCTTGAACTGTGTAGTTCTACTTGTTATGATCCTTCTGCTTCAGCCTCCCAAATACTGGGATTACAGGCACGTGCCACCATGCCCATTTTTAAGTCAGAACTAATTTTTTAAAAAGTGTCCGTAATCCCAGTTCTCTCGAAAGCTGAGACAGATGGAGGAGAGTAAGTTCAAGCCCAGCCTGTGCAACTTAATGACTTAGCAAGACCCTGTCTTCAAAAAAAGAAAAGAAAAGAAAGGAGAAGAGGGATTGGGATGTAGCTCAGTGTGAAGGCTCTGGGTTCAATCCCCAGAATTGGATCAGAGGGAAAAAAAGAAGAGTCGGTGTGCAGACACAGCAGGACAATGAAACAGAATTAGGCTTCTAAATAGCTTCTCAGGTAAGCTATCAACGAGAGCAGACACCACCACCAAATGCCCAGCTCCTAGCAATCCTGCCTGCTGCGATGATGATACCGGCTGGGGTCAGACAGACTGAAGTGGTTTTGCAAGTAAATAATTCCAATCTGTCCACAAGACGTCACAAGAGCTTCTTGAGAGAAATGAACACCCAGAGTTCAGCTGATCCCACAGAAACAGGAACTGAAGCCTTTCACAGAGCAGACCTGGGTCTGGGTGGAATGTGGCCAGGCTGCCCAGCCCAGGGCCTGGGTTGTGTGTGTTTGTGGGAGTCTTCCTGTTGGCACCTGATTTCCTGGGCAACCTGAAAGCACTCGGCCAAGGAAGACATTCCCCACGGAAGGAAGGGGGCGCCAAAGGGCCCTTTTTCACTGGAGGCTGGCAGGTCCCAGAGGGCTCCTGGTTACCCCCTTGGGGATGTGGCACCCACCCTAGCTCCACTGGGCTGTAGATGCTCAGGAGCTTGCAGAGGACCCTTAGGAAGCCTGAGTGCCTCATGAAATGGGCCAGGGGCCGTAATTATTTTTAAAATGCCCACCACAAAGTGAACTTGGCTAAGTGCATACCAGCAGGTCCACACACTTGAGTGTGGATTTCAGGAGCTATACAGATAAGTCACTCAGGGGATTTAGACTTCTTGTATGGAAACATGGCCTCCTGTTGATAAGTGTGGGGCTTCCATGCTATTGTTCACTGGGTCACCAGCAGGCAGTGGGATGCTTTGCCAAGACTGAGTTGGCGGAGACAGAAACCATGTGTGGCTCACCTCTTCCCTTCTGGAACAAACACAGCCCCTACCTCACAGCTCCCAACCAGGGAAGTGGAGTGGGCCTCTTCCTTGTCAATGCCCTGTGACAAGTGGCCCGGGTTCCTCAGGCAAGGGCAGCAGAAACCCCAAGGACAGCCCTCCACTCTCTTTTTCTGCAGCTACTCACTTCCCAGGGTGCTGTAAGGTGGTGGGGCTTCCCCCATCCTGCACCCTTGGGGGGCTGTGGAGCAAGTATCCCACTGAGTCAAGCTGGATGGGACTGCACTGGCCACCCAGTCCCCCTGAGCTTATCCTGAGTCACACAGTTGGCCTCGAGGGACAGGCTCAGGTGTGTAGGGCTAACTACTCTTGTTACTAATTTTCATTATTTGTTATACAGGTAACTTAGGAAAATACAGATAAAATAACCCAGGATCAGAGGTGATCGCTGATACCTTTCTTTGTCTAGATCTCATAGGCAAAGATCTCAAATGAATTTTTTTCATTTAATAAAGAGATTTGAATGAGCTTATGTCTTTTTTTTGTTTTTTTTTTTTGTTTTTTTTCCTTTTTATCGGTACCAGGGATCAAACTCACGACTGCCTGCTTGAAAGGCAGGCGCTTATGCCGCTGAGCTAAATCCCTAGCCCCTAGTTTATGTCTTTTCTTCTTTTTCCTTTCCAGTACAAGGGGCTGCCAGGGCCATTACACTGAGCCACATCCTCGGCCCTTCTGTATTCATGTTCTTTGGAGCCAGGGTCCTCCTGCATTGCTAAGCTGCCCAGGCTGGGCCTGAGCTTTCTTGACCAGCCGTGGTGTACCTTGGTGTATCTAGGCACATGCAGAGTTGGCTGACACTGCAGCTCTGGTGTGGCCCCTGCTGAGCTCTGAGCCACCTTCTCATGGAAGACAGGCAGATTTTAGACCAGCTTAGCATTCGGGTTCTTTCCGAATGTCGCATCCTGAATCTGCCTGGTGCACACCTAGAGAAATACCAAGTGTGACTGAAAGATACGGTGAGTGCTTAAATTTTTAAAAAATTATTACAGTTAAAGACACATTGTTCTCCATACCCCTCACAATCCTCCCTCTCACTTTGGACGTATTTATCCCACCTTTCTGGCCACCGTCTGAGGCAGTTCTGAGTCCTCTTCCATGGCTTCAGTGGTGCTGCTGGCTGCCTTGAGGTCCTAAATCTACTCAAAACATTTACCTTTCATGGTCATTTTGACTTTGGGGAAGAGCCAGAGGTCACACAGGGTCAGATCCGGTGGAAAGGGTGGCTGAGGACACTGTAAGCTGCCTTTCCACCGGATGGCACGTGGCAGCAGCGTTCACTGTGCTTCTGATCATGCCCCATAGAGCCATGGAGGATGACTTCCAGAACTGCTTCAGAAAGTGGCGAGAGGGATGGGCTGAGCGTGTCTGCAGCAAGGAGGGGACTGTTGCGGGGGGCTTAATGACAATGCGTCTTTCACTGGAATAGATTTTTTAAAAAAGCAAACATGTGCTGTACATTTTAATGGCCCCTTGTACTCTGAAATCTTTGGTGAATGAATGAATGCACTTATGTTCTGAAAATGAATGAACATGATGACACAAATGATTTTAGAGGGGAAATAAGACCAACACTGCATTATCTAACTACAGTTCCACCCAAACCCATTTAAAATCGTAGACTATCATATACTATGAACACTTTCTTAACTCTTCTTTCTCTAAACGTCTCTGGAACTGTGCACGCCCCCTGCCTCAGCCAAGCCAGCGCATGAATCCCCTTCAAGGTCTAGTGTAAATCTCTGAAGACAGAGCCCTTCCATTTCTGTCAGGCCCGCCCAAACCCCCTCAGCGGCAGAGCTCTTCCACCCCCCTGCACTGCCAGCGGGTCAGGCTGCAGCAGACTCTTTGGGGTTACCTGGCCCCAGGCCCCCTCATCACCTTCCACATAAAGACCCCAAGATCCGCCATGCTCCCTCACCAGCACTCTCGAATCCTTCCTGCCCCAAACGGTCTGTTCCTGCTGACCACTCACCTGCAGGGTCTTCACCCCTCGGCAGGTCGAAAGTCCTCTGTGGCCCCAGCCCTTTATCTTCTTTAAGGCAGCAGGGCCCCGACCCACATTTGCTGCCTACTTTAAATCTTCAAGGCCCAGGATGACACTTCCCTGTCACACTGCCACATTACCAATGCACGGGTCTCGCATGAACACAGGACTGCTAGTATTTATTGACTCTGATATTTTAGGCTGAGCCATGTGAAACAGTTAAACGTGGCTGAGAATGAGAGATTTCGTATGGCTCCACCTAACATCAGTGCTATTTCACACAGCAGACGGTACGTGTCAAATTAAAAATGATACGCATGTCCTGGCTCTTCCCTGAAAACGCAGTTGATTCCTCTACCAAACCCTTCAGAATTTTTGCTCTTAGGACACCATCACAGGCTCCCGCAAATCAAGGAACAAACAGGCAAGAGAGTGCAGTGTGCACACAGCAGACTCCACCTGGTTGTTGGGAAGTGACATTTGTACTAACACTGGAAAGATTGAAGCTGTCAGGTAGGCAGTGGAGGGGACGGGGAGACACCATCCTCCTGCGGGAGGAAAACAGCCTAGGGCAGGAGTCTGAACCCATTACCACGGTGTGTTCAGCCACAGATCCAGCTGGTTTCCAGCGTGGAGGGCGCTACCCACCCTTAGCGCGTCCATCACTTCAGGCTGCTCCAGGAGCTGGGGGAAGGAGGCCAGCATTGGGTGACTGATGAGATCTGAAAGACACAAGAGGAGAAGCTTACGTGAACTGCATTCACTGTACCTGACTGCACCACACACACGCATATTCATTCACATTAAAATCACGGTACCAAATGATTTCTTGATAACACCTTCTATACACTTTAACCTCCACCTCTGCCCCTCCCTATACCTTGTACAGGTGTGCCAGGAAAGAATTCAGTGAAAGGGTTTTGGCCCAGACAGGACTCTGTAGCCAGGAAAGCCTCAACCAGAACCAGGAAGCCCCTGTCTCCCCCGCCCCTAGGAATTTACCTGTGACGCCATCTTCCCGCCCCTGGGGATTTACCTATGGCGCCAAACCTAGGACCAAGGGGCTACCTGTGCTTCCCTAATGCCCCCCTTAGCTTCCATCCCAAACTGAGGCTACTTATGTGCCTCACTCCACGTGTTCCATGGAGAGATGCGCGGACCCTGGGGTGGAGATGCCACGCCCTGGGGGATCAGGGTGTCTCTCTCTGCATTCTCAAAATAAAGGTCATTTATATTTCATACTTATCTTTTCAGCCGCCGCCGGTCCTCCCCCACAGTTCTATCATTAAGAACAGGAGAGTCTGGTCACGTGACCAGATATTGTGTGGGGAACACTGATACTTTATCATGAATAACGGCACAGAAGATGTAGTACAAGACACAGCAGCGGGCATTTGTGGGTTCACTGGTACCTCTATGCCAGAGCACCTGGACCTGCTATTGCTTCACAAACAATGGGGATTTACATCACACAGCTCTGGACACCGGGGCCCCAAGATTAAGGCACCAGTTAAGCATTTAGTATCTGGTGAGGGCTGTCTTACTGGCCAGTGTGGTTTGCATTTAAATGTCCCCCCAAAGCCACCTGTAGGCATGAAGGTGGCTGAGTCTAGCCTTTGTGATTGGTTTGTTGTCTAGTGCTGGGATTGCTGGTGTGAGTGCTGCACCTGCCCAGGAGCAGAGCCAGCTAACAATATAAGGGAGGTAAGGAGATGTGCTTTTTCCTTTTTTGCCCTTTCTGGCCTGTTGTTTGCAGAATGGTTCCCCTTCACCATGCCACCCTGCCTTGCAGCCAGTATGGATTGAAACCTCCAAAGTCTAAGTTAAATAAACCTTTCCTTCCTTCATTTTGAGCATCAAGTATTTTGTCTTAGAAACAAGAGAAAAGTAGCCAAGATGCTGGCCCTTTGGAGAGAATGACATTGTGTCCTGTGTGGCAGAAGGCAGAAAGATAAGCAAGAAAGATCCCTGTCCATGGTCACACCCTTCTGTAAGGTCACCTGAGGCCACTCATGAGAGAGGAGCACTCTTGGTCTAATCACCTCTCAAAATCCTCTCCTCTTGACACTATCACAAGAGCAAAGCCTGGATTTCGGAGCAGACATTCAGACTATAGTAGGTACTTCTCAAATAGCAAGGGTGATACATTTGACAACACCAATGTCCTTAGAGAATAATCCTTTCTTTAGATCCTGCTAAGCTTGTTCTGCTGACCGACTGCAAACAAAGCCATCTGTCTTGAGCCACTCTCTCTTTACTGAGAGAAAAAAATTACACCCCTCATCCCCTTTAAGAAGTAATGTCACTCATGAAGCTTTTCTAAAATCATTAAAATAAACTCAAAGGTGAGTGTGAGTTAAAAGGCTTCACTGGCTCCCCCTGGAACTATGACTATTCTTTGAGAAATCTGTGCCTTCTGACTCTGAGTTCCACTGCTGGTTGGTGGTGCAGGTGGCAAGACTGGCCCAGGACATCACCTGTGCACGCTGCCAGCTCATCACAGCCCAGCCCCTTGGCCCTGTCCATCCTGGCGGCCTTCAGTTCTATCCCTCCAACGTGAGCACAGGTTCTTGCCTGGGTGCTTAGACCAGCTCCTCTATCCAGAAAGCTCCTCCTCACACCCCCAGGGGTTAACTCCCTTCTGAGCTCTTTTCAATAGTCCTTGCTCAGTGCAGCATTTCCTCACAGTTAATTCAGGCCTCCTAGCGATCACTCTCCCCTTCTGAGCATCTTCCTGCTGAGCTCTCATTCAGAGGATGGACAGCTTAGTCATGTGACCGTGTCTGAGGCCTGCTGTCCCACCAGGGTGGGGACGACCCTGCCTGTCTTATTCATCCTGGTCCTACATAATGTCTGGCATGCAGCAGACCGCACATGTCAGCTCGATGATTTACTCAGTTCAAACCCCAGTCAATGAAGCTAAGCTGCTTTCCTCTCTGAGGGCTATTCTTCTGACACATGCATTTCTCCTTACAAGTAGCTTGTTGATTTCCTAAATAATCTTTCAACTTTTGACTTGGAATAATTTCCAAATTCAAAAGAAGTTTCAAGAATAAAAACAGTACATAAACAATTAGAATATTCTTTATCTTGATTCACTGGTTATTTTGTTTTGAGACAGGATCTCACTATGTAGCCAGGCTGGCCTTGAATTCACAGCAATCCTCCTGCCTCAGCCTCTCGAGTGCTGGAGTCACAGGCATGTACCACCATGCCTGGCCAAATCACTGATTTTAAACTAATCCAATGACTCCTATATTTCATGCTCTAAGAATCAGTTATTTGAGGATTTTGTTTTTTCCCCAAATGACAACTTGCATGCCAAGTGCAGGGAGGGGGAAAGATATTCAGAGACAGATTTCAATTTCAAGCTTCCATATTTAAAAATGCAAAAGAATGTATCTGAAAGAACTGAGCATGTATTTGAGGTTCCAAATGTCCACGCTTTGCATCGGGCGTACTGACATTGATGCCACCCCCATATTGTATTCCAAATGTCCCACTTAGAAACCAAGGTTACATCCATGCAGGCATAGAGTACCAGTGAATGAAGAAGCGTGAGGACTCCTTACCAGCGTTCTGTGAGTTTGTCCTGTCTTTTAGCAGCGCATCTCCAAGAATCTGCCGATAAAATACCAGCAGGTGGGAGCAGCACATACTTCCAACCAAGGTTTCCGGCAGGAAGCTGTCACGGAAGGGAAAAATGCATTTAGCAAGCGTCCCTCCAGGCTGCCCGCAGGGCTTTTCCTGCACGGTGTTGGGAAACATTTTAAGAACCGAAAGGAGAATTTCTACCAAGTGGCCACAGTAAGCTTCCGATACACATTTGAGGTGTGTACTTCCAGCCTCCGCCGTGCTGTAACCCTTGTGTTTCCATTTTAGCACAGACACCCCTGGAAAATGGCAAATAAAAAGAAAAGCCCTGGAGTACTTGTGTCAGACAGCGAGTGCCGAGTGAGCCACCCACTTGAACAAAGGCATGTGGCTGCCACGCCTGACTGATGCGGAAATCCCAGAGAGACTGTTTCAGGGCGGGTGCCACAGGGTGTGACAGGCCCAGGGTTTGAATGGCCGGGCGGATCCCGACTTGGCTGTGAGGCTGTGGACTCCTTAGGGCTCACTCTCCCTGTACTTTAATTTCCTTGTGTGTGGAATGTGAGGAGATGATCCACAGTTCACCTGAGTAAAAGGATTAAATGCCTAAAGCAGCGTCCGCATAGACAGGGCTCCAGGGCAGGAAACCGTGCACAACTGAAGGTGTTACCAGGTTAGAGTGCTACAGTTTTGGGATGTGTGACGGAATCCCCATGGCAACCACAAAGAAAATGTCTATAGAACATACACAGAGGAAATGAAACGGGGTAAAAATGTGTCCCCGTGAAAGGTCAAGCACAAAGGAAAGCAACAGGGAGGAAACGAAAGACACAAAAAGTGACACAATGTCAAGGAAACAAGAAACAAAATGCCCAAGTCAGGTCTTTCCTATTGGCAATTTCTTTAAGTGTAAATGGATTAAAACCCCAATCAAAAGATAAAAGTTGGAAGAATAGATTTAAAATATAAAATGCAACTATATGCTTTCTATAAGACATTCTAGATGAAGGACACTCAAAAGTCATCAATAAGACTTAAATTTTTGTAAGTTAATCTTTAATTTCCAGAAAAGTTTAGAAGGAAAAAATTATGAGAAAGGCAATGTTCGGTCCTGCAGCTGATCACAGGGGAACAGACAGAAAACGACACTATGCTGGTGCAGAAGGGATAGGGTCCTCAGGTGGTCAGTGCCTGGAGTTTAGGCTGAGCATCCCCCACCACTCCCTGCGTTTCTAGAAACACTAAAAAATTACAATACAGGTTCTCTTACCACATTCATATCATATATACTAGTGGGCACACAGAGCCAGAAATCATTTTTCCAGTGCTCCCCAAATTCCAACTGAGATTTCAAAGACTGACTACAGGGGAGCAGCCGAGCCACCACCAGGCACTGTTGGGGTTCTTCCTGAGACTTCTGAGGAGGGTTGTCTGGCTCTGGCTCTGGTCTCCAGCCCACCCAAGCAGTGTTCCTGTGCATGCCCAGACTCAGGGCTCATGCTGAGGAACAGCGGGGGCCTTTGCCAGGGGAAGGGAGGAGCCTTCCTTCCTTCCTCCCGCTCTGTCCTCGCCTTTCTCCATCTGTCTGCCAGGCACCAGTGTGGGCACCGTGTGGGCCCTCCTTTCCTTCTGAAACCTTCCTACATGAGACAATGTGGCTTCACTTTTTAAAGATTTTCTTCAGAGAAACCTCTGGTTTTTCCACACCCAAGGTGACCAGAAAGTTCTGGGCAACAAACAGTTAGCTGAGTTGAAGAAGTAAAAAGCTATGTCTCTGCCAGTGCAAGTGCTGCTGGCAGGAGGGGAACAGATGTGATGAGTGGGCCTCAGTCAAGTAATAGTCCTACTTTATTCAATTGTAATATTCAATTCAATTTAGAAAAAAAGACAATATGGAATGGATCAAAAAGACAAGCAAAATAAATTCACAGCAAATTCACATGGAGATCCATACAATCTACTTTACAGCCTGGTATCTCCTGGCGCTCAGAACTCAGAGTCTAAATTTGGACCTTTCCCTTAACCGGGGCTTAGGAGCAGGCCTTGGTCAAATCACACCAGGTTAAACCCCTTTGGAAAGCAGCTCCAAAATTAGAAAGACAAGTTTTGGTGAAGCAGAAGCATCTATCTGCTTCTTGTCAAAGAGTCGGGGTCACCATGATCACAACTGACTCTCTGAAGGGCTTGAAGGCGAGCCGGGTGCGCTTTCCTGTTGGAAGAGACAGGCTGGCCTGCCCAGCTTGTTTGCATTGTCACAGGTCTGCAGGCCAAAGGACCCATGCGTGTGACACTGTTGGCTGTGAGGGCCACCGAGAACTGGGCATCAGGGGGCCAGGGGAAAGGGGCCTGACGCATACTCCACCAGGGCTCTGCACCCTTGGTCTGCCCCACCGGATCTCACCATGTCCTGGCCTGGTTTCTCTGAGAGGGTGGGCTGTGCCTGGGTCACGCCAGCAGGGGACCTTAGCCTGTCTGTAACAGCCCCAGGCTGTGCCTTTCAGGACCAGGCAGCATGGAGCGGTGCTCATGACCATGGGAAAAGAGAAGAGCACGCAAGAGACAGGCCGGGAGAAGGAGCCCTACTTGGAAATTGCTTCACAAACACTTTCTTGGGTGCCTACCATGTGCTGTCATCACACATGTGCTTCTGTCCCTGAGTTCTGGGGGACAAGGCTGCAGGACCCTTCAGTCAGGCCCAGCACATGGGAGTGTTCCCAGCTGCTCTCCTGACCTCTGCGCTGTGCAGCCCGACTTGATCTCAGAATGGGAAGACGCATCTGAAAACCGGAATGCAGAGCCAGAGGCACAGCATCAAGAGCTGTGCGTGCCAGACGCGCTGGCAGTGCCCGGCTCTCAGAGCCCTGCCTACCAGCTGGAGCAGTGCAAGAGTGAGGTCGAGCGGGATGAGGCTGTTCACTTACAGAGACCGCTACTGTGCTGGGTCTGCACCATGAAAAAGAAGTTTTCCATGGAAAGACTGCCAAAAAGGGGAATTTACAGGCTCTAAGAACATCCAAGAAAGAAAGAAAAAACCCAAGAGAGTGAGTAATACCTAGGAGCGCACCATCAACGGTTGTTGAAAGACTGAACTGTGAGTAGGGTAATTATAAGATGCACCTCGGTCTGAGGTCAGAGCAAGGGGTATTTAACCTCGGGATCCGGAATGAGCAAAGCAAACCCCTCGGGGGCACCCCAATCCCTCTCCCCCAGCTTCTTGGAAATCTGCGGTAAGGAGCTGTCCTGGGAGCACAGCCCCCTGGATGGGCTCTGCCCCACACTGTGCTCACCTCGCCCTGTCCCCCGGGTGCCCGTGTCCTCTGTGAGAAGCTCCTTTCCTCTCCCATGGCCACCTTCCTGCCATCCTGCAAAGTCTGCTTCTGCTCCTCCCCGGACCCTCCCTGCTGAAAACCACATCTTCATCCAAACAGTCTTTACAGCACTGTCTCCTTGGCGTTGAATCTACATCATTATTCCAATGGCGGATGCTAATGGCTGGCACTATGTGCTCCACTGTGTGCCAAGCACAATCAACATGAAGCCAGGGGTTTATATGCTTTCTTTCCAGACACTCTTGTTCCAGTGGTAAGGGGTCTATGCTGGTACGCCTGCTTTTTCAGACTAGTCTTAATATTGTAAAGGGTGGCATACAAATCGCTTTTAATTCTAGCGTAAAAATGAAAACATTTAAAATAAATAGCTGCAATAATTTTTAACATATACACAAAGTTAAAAGTCATAAATTTTAATGTCAATAACATAAAATGTGGAGGCAACAAAAGAGATAAGGCACCCCAGGTGCAGAGTGAGAACTGTCTGGTTTTAGATGGCACGGTCTTATTGGTCTATTTAAAAGGCTGAGAAATGGTTAAAAGTCTAAGGACACTGAGTGAAAAATTAGTAGATCTGAGATTCCACTAGTATAAATGCTTCTTGCACAAAACACAAGAAAAACACCATGGAAACCACTACTGGCTTTTTAAAATGGCCAGAACAGAAAAAAATGTCAATACAAAGTGCTGTCAAGAATATGGTATACGAGGGGCTGGGGATTTAGCTCAGCGGCATAAGCACCTGCCTTGTAAGCAGGCAGTCATGAGTTTGATACCCGCTACTGATAAAAAGCTAAAGAAAAAAAAAAGAAGTAAAAAAAAGAATATGGTATATGCCTGGCGTGGTGGCACATACCTGTAATCTCAGACCTCAAATTTGCGACCAGCCTGCGCATAAAATGACCTCAAGGCCAGCCTGATGAGGGGGAAAAAAAAATATGGAGTAAGTGAAATTCACACCCTGTTAGGGAGAGGGTAAATGGTACAGTAATTTTGGAAAACAGTTTGGCAGCTTCTTATAAAGTTAAACTAAAACCAGACGAGCCAGCAGTCCCATTCCTAGGTTATGTCTACCCACAAGAGATGGAGGCAGATGTCCACACTGGGAAACCTGTGGGCGAGCTGGGCACGGTGGTATACTGCCCCATCACACCAGCACCCTGGGAGGCTGAAGCCAAAGGGTCACAAGCTTGAGCCCAGCCTAGGGAATTGGTGACTTTGTGAGGCCCTGTCTCAAAAATCTCAACATTAAAGATTTTTTAAAAAGGGCAGGGATGCAGGTCAGTGTGAAGGCCCTGGGGTTAATCCCCTATGCTGGGTGAAGAAAAATCTTGTATGCATGTGTTTAGGGGCCCTTATTCATAATTACCCAAACTAGACACAATCTAGCAACCTAGAGAATGATAAACAAACTGTGTTACATTCATAAAATGTGATACTGCCTAGAAAGAAAAGGAACAATCGAATACACGCAGCAGCCTGGGTTAATCTCCAAGGCGCCGTGCTGAGAGAAAGAAGCCAGATTCAAAGGCCGCTACTGTACAGTTCCATTTATGAGATCCAGAAAAGGCAAAGCTAGTAGGGAAGAAAACAGGTGTGAGGCTGGGCGCTGGGAGCTGACTATAGACCTGAATTCAGCTTTTAGAGTAAGGAAAACATTCTGTATCCTGGTGGCTGTTTTTACATGATTGTACACATCTGTCAAAACTCCAAGACCCCACCCACTAAAAAGGGTAAATTTGCTGTATGTAAATTAAACCTCAGTACATCTGACAAGAAAAGGTTCCCTGAAGACAGGATTAGAGATTGGTAAGCCCCATTTATTCAAAAGTGGCTGAATTATCTATAGCGAAGCCTATCACTTGGGCTTATTGGTAAACAGGACTGTGAGTGAGTGTACACGGTGTTACTATCCTGCTTCCTTACTGATGGGGTTGGGGTGTTTGGGTTTTTGGAGACAGGGTTTCCCCGTGAGATACAGGCTGGTTTTGAAGTCACTATGAAGCTCACACTGGCCTCAAACTCCCGGAGATTTTCTTTAATCACAGGTGTGCACCTCTATGTTCAGCTCCCTACTGATCTTAGGCAGAAGAATTAATGGGGGACAAAACCACTGAGAAAGACTTGGCCGAGTAAGCAGGAGGAGAAGCCGAAGCTGCGGCGCCCTGCAAAGGTGCCCGAGCACATGGGAAAGGCGAGCAGGGACCAACCTCAGGATGTTTCTCGATCTTTGGTTCAGAGACCTCAGTTTCACCAGAAGTTGAGGCTGCCTTCGCATGGTCAGCATCTGATGGAAAACACTGCTGTGTGCTGAAAAAAAAATCAAAGATAAAACTAAAAATGTGAAGTGTTTGGGAATGAGTACAGTAGACCAAGTGTTCGGTGAAAATGTGCCATCCGTGTACCAAGTGTGCAACAGGCAGGAGTCCCGAGTATTCTCAGAGAGCCGAGGGACAAAGGGTGATGCGAATCCTGATGGACACAGACAGGCCCCAGATGGTGTCACCGCTGCCTGCTTAAGCAGCGGAGAAGGGGAGTTTAAAGAGCACATCCGGCCCTAGGTAGAACCAGCTGCATCTCAGACTCCAAGCTCCTTCCTGTTCCAAGAAGCTGGGATGCCAGGCCTGTGGGGACAGCGGCAGGGAGGCTGCTCTGACCACCAAATGAAGACTAGGGTGTCTCACCCTCCGCCTCCCAACTCCCAGCACACTGCCGGGCCGAAGGCCAGGTAAAAGGCGCTCAACTTTTTGCAGGACAGTGAGCCATGCAGATCACCGTTCCTTGTTTATGCGCTTTGACGTTGCCTCAGGCGGGCTCTGGCTTAGCCTGACCTGTTTCTAAGAGCACAAATGCAAGTGAAGAACACCGTGCGAGCTGCCTTCTCACGTGACCGTGTTGGGCGTTAAGGGAAGGAAAGCAACACCTAAGAGCCGTACCTCTCCTGGACACGGAAGGGTCCACTTCCACGCCTTTCTCATAGGGGGTCCCGCCGTTCAGGAAGAGCTCGTAAGTTCTAGAATAGAAAAACTTGCTTGGGTGGGTATGTCTCGTAGGCATTCGGGAACACTGGAGTCAGCAGTAAAGTACATTTGAGCACAAAGTTATTTACAGACATAACATTGGTTATTATTATGTCTATAATCTGTGACAGAAGGGAGACAGCTCTGGGTCCCTAGTAGGTGCCATCTTGGTCAACAGACTCTCAGCACAAACTATTGAGAATATGGGGTTTTTTGTTTACATGAAAATGAGAAAGATTAATTGACATTATTTGACTTTAATGACAATAACTGCTTTGAATGTATTTTCAAATGAATCGAATCATTATTGGAAACAAAGTCATCATGAATTTCAATTATTTTTAAAATAGGAAAGTGACGAGTATAGTGTAAAACATTTGGATGGCAAAGAAACTCCTCCCCATCTTTCCTTCCTATGCTGACACATCTTCTGCTTTTTTTTCTTTTCTTTTTGGTACCAGGAATTGAATTCACAACCCTGCGCTTGCCAGGCTGGTGCTTGTGCCACTGAGCTAAATTCCCAGCTGCTCTTTTTCTATGCAAATGCAAACAAGCTGATACATGTTTCCCCCACACCTCGGTCCTGGGGATCAAAAGCAGGGCTTCATGGAAAGACGACCAGGAGCTACTCCTGCAGCTCTGCGTGCGTCTGTTCTGAAGCAGACACCACCTGAGTGCAGGAAGGAAGTTAAAAGGCCCCTTTACTCCTACCACGCCAGGGTCCCCATTCTGATCCAGTTTACCTGCATCTGCCCACAGAAGCAAACAAATAGTTTTCAATGAACAATTAAAGGGGGGTGGGGTCACGGTATTCAGACTGGTCTGTGTCTTACATTTTGTCTGCTATACACTGGAAGCGTCTCTGTATTAATACATAGAGCTCTACCTCGCTTCTTGCTTAAAAAACACCTGTCACCTGACTTGTAGAAAGATGGAGACGTATTTTCTTTATTTCCTTCATTAAGGACTGCACCCCACCCCTGAGCATGTTTTCTAAACACACCACAAGAAAGCTTGGGTTTCTATACCCACTCCTGTTACTGGGGGAGCCCTCCCACCCATGCATGGGGGTGACGCCAAGAAAGGAGGTAATCAGGACTTTACCTCTGGCCTTGAGATGTTACAGACCACAGCCTCGGACTTTATAATTCCAAGCTTGGGATCCTGATCACCATGCAGCTCCCTGCCTGCCCATTTGCATCTCTGCTGTGAATTTCGCTTTATACCCTAGACTTAGAGCTGTATTTTCTCCCATTTAGAAATTCAGATGATCTTGGTCTTATTAATTTTCAAGAGCTCTTTTTGCATTAGGGGCTATAGGGTTCTTATCGCAAAAATCTGCTTCCTGTCTGCCTTTTTGCTCCTAAGGTTTAAATCTGTTTACAGATTCCCACTACAGTTTCCACGTTCCACCTTTAGGAGGGAGGCAGAGGTCACAGGACTTGGGGACCCTGGCTCAGCTCCCCACTCTTTGAAGAGAATCAGGCTTTGCTCGCAGCACAGGGAAATGTGCCAGGACACGGGAAATCACTCAGCAGCCAGCCAGTGCAAACAGCTCTTAAAACACTGACTCCATACATCATTTTTTCCTGCCTGGGACGAAAGTCTGCAAGCTGTCTCTGTGCAGCATCAGACAACACTCAACTTGTTGAAGAGCTACCAGAACCAATCTGAGCTACCCAGAGCCTAAAAGGTGAACTCGTGCAAAATGGCCCAGCGGTAGGGAACGCCCAGCCCGCTTACCTGGCCGGAATAGGAGCGCCGCTGGCATCGAACAGCTTCAGAAACGCCCAGCCACAGCTTAACTCTCCTCGGTCACCGGTAGACTAGGGAGCAAAACAAGTATGTGACTCTGTGTCTGCAGCCCAGAGAGAACAAAACGCGCGTTCACCCCCACTACAGGAGCAGCTCTTTCCCAGAAAATACAATGAGACCTAATAGATGCCCGCTTCCTTCGCAAACTAACAAACTGTCGCTACTTCAAGTGACAACCGTGTTTCGTTGAAAATCCTTGCTCTTGAAAATTCCTTAAATCTGACAAGGTGGCCATGACTGCTCTCGGATCTTGAGTGCTGTGAACTTTGTAAACTGATATCAAATCACACCGATACCACTTGGGGTCATGAGACTGGGTTTCACTGCCTGGTGGAATGCAGCAGGGGTCACTCAAGGAGCTCCAAAGTTTTGCTCCAAAGTTTATCTTCACTGTCAATTGACAGAGGCCACTAGGGCTTGCTTGGGGACCTGCTCCTCCCCTCACCATCCCACCTATCTGCAAAGCACATGCCTCGGTCTGTCTTAAAGAACAGCAGTGGCAATATAGGACCACTGACATAACCTCTCTGTGATGACTCTGGTTACTGGGGCCAAGTTATTTATTATTATTATGTTATTATTGGTTTTTTAAGACAGACTTTTGAGATGCAGTTCCAGCTGACTTTGAATTCACTTTTTAGCCCAGGTTGGCCTCAAACTTGCAGCAATCCTCCTGCCTCAGCTTCCTGAGTGCTGGGGTTAGTCATATGCCACCATGCCTGGCTTTTAATGTCAATTTAAATACTATTTTAAATACCATTGTAGCATTATCTAAAAAATGAGAATCACCATCAATCTCATTCCACAAGGGATTAAAATTCTATTACACAGAAGCCTTCCTGTATTTTACCTGTAAATACAGACATACTTCTGACACTTCCCTTTTAATGGAGACATTAGAAAACCTTATGTTTCAGTTGACGTACGTTGCGAATATAGGAAATTCCAAGTTCAAACAGGATTCCGAGGTCGGGAGATGAAGAATTGGACCTGATGAAACAGTCCCCACTGAGCAAGCAGGGCAAGATGCCAGTGACCTGCATGACAGAGAAACCAAAGTCACCGGTAAGAAGAAGTGGGGAGGAGTTTAGCTCCTTGGACCATCTGTGAACGGTTTATGCCCCTGCAGTATGATAAAGGTCTTTTAAGGAAAATAAAAAGCAGATGCACTGGGCTTATCATCTATAACAAAGGTTTGAAATAAAAACCTTATTTCAAGGGATTACTGTCACCTGCTTTTGCACTGTGAGACAAGCGCTGTCCGCAGGCTCAAGTGCACAGTCTGTGTGAGCTGCTTACCTAAGGTGTGTGCCTAGCCACTGCTCCGCTGCTTAGATGGATCTAACCCGAGAGACCAATACATGCTCGCTCAGCTCGCCTGCCGCCCGTCCTGCGAATGTTCTTTCCCTCTTGCTCATCTCTCCTCTCTCCTAATAACCAAATCCCCCTTCTCGCCTCAGTAGTCCTACCCGTCCTTTACGTCTGCTTTCTCTTCCACGATACCTTCCCTGGGGATCAGGCTAGAATTAGCCTCACCTCCTCGGGCTCCCAAAGCACTCAGAACCCCATCAGCCAGAGTGAAGATTTATTTCCACAGTGCCCACACCCAGGGAGCCTCCAAGGCTGCAGCAAGACATCTCACCCAGGGCCTGGCACACAGCTGGGCACCATGGATGGAGGGAGCTGCTATCACTCACGAGTTTCTTCTCCATTATCCTGCAAGTTCCCACATGTCCAGGGTGGATGCCTGGCACTTGGCAGATGCTTAACTGGATTCGGCAACGGGTTGTATACTTACACGTCCTCCCAATGGCTCATCTTTATAACCCAGGAAAGTGTTAGCACCTCACACCTCACCCTTACACTTCACACACGCAGATACCACTGCACACTCGTGCAGGGCTGTGCCACAGGCTGGCGGTTTCTCCCTGGGAGCAGGGAGCTCTCGAGGTCGCCCTGCACCTGCACTAGTTTGGGGGATGAGTGGGGACATGCACACGCAGTGAAGTGACCTCTCTCAGACCTCCCCCTAACTCTCCCAGATCTCACTCTAACTCTTTTGATGCAATAAGAGGAAGCTCAATGAAGGGTTTTCAGGGTGCAGTAACATAAACAAGTTAATTGTAGGGAAATAAAATACTAGAGTAACGAAACCACAGTGGTGGAAACCAAGTATGCTACATGCAATTAATGCTGGATAAAGAACATAAAGACACCCTCGATTCACTGGTGTCCACGTAACCCTGAGTCAGTGGTTTGAAGCCCTCACTGGACAGTGACAGTCCCCAGGGTGTAGGGACAGTCCTCGGGCGTCACCTTTGATGTTATCTGGGAAAACACAACCTCAGGAGCACAGGGGAAGCGTTCATTTTTGAAAAAACACCCTGCTTTCTAAATGTTATCTTTTTGTTTTCATGTTTCATCAAATGGGTAGTTTCTAAAATTGACATCCATTGAACAAGATGATTCATAGGAAACATAACATGGGTGCGTCAGGAATATGAGTGACTTTTTTAAAATCTAGGAACACACTAAGGAATTTAAAGATTTAAATCTGGGCCCTTGCATCCTGTGCCGAGTCCGTCACAGTTACAGCCTCACCTTAGATCTTAACTGCAGCAACTTAATAGGTTAAAAAAAAAATTCATTTTTTTCTTCTCTTCACTCAGAGATTACCTACCTGGGGAGAAAATGCCCATGTTTTGGGCTTTTTAGGTTGCCACGTGGCTCGGACAGTATGAATGTTGCTCAGGACCTGAAATGAGAGTTTCCCATTTGAAATTGCACTGTAGAAAGTTCTCTGATACATAACTGCTTCTGAGTGCCAGAGTGCTGACGGCGGGAAAGCAGAACTTTCAATGTTTATTTCATGTAATTCCACGATGTGTTTCTTTTTACATCAAGGTCCAGCATGCATATAACTTCTGAAATAGTGAAAAAAAGCCTTCCAATATTTATTAATAAAACCATGAAGAAACTAATAAAATGAATTCAGACTTGGACCTTTGTGCCTGTGGTAAGTTGTTGTAAGTGAAATACTTCAGAGCTGAGAGTGAAACTGCAGATTGAAATGGTTTCAGAGATGGGACGCGCATTTTACATGTTGTCCTCAGCTGGGATATACACCATGTTTCGATTCAAGATTTGAGGCCTGAGAATTACATCCTGCAATTTAATCTCTTATGAAATGGCACCCACAAAAGGTCCACCCTGAAGTTTACATAAAGCAATGAAGTACAAAAGAGAACTTTTGAAACTTTATGTAAAAGTTTATGCCAAATTCTGTAACGTTATGGCCAATTAAATTTGAATTGACTTTGTCTTTTAGAGAACTTTTAGTTTAAGAGAAGTAAGCAGAAAGTACTTACTTTTTATTAAAAAAAAACAAGTATAAATTGCAAACTGGTAGATTCAAACAAAGTCAGGCGGTGTAGCTGCAGGAATCTTCTATTAGACTCTGCATGTTCTGGTGCATTTGAAATAGTTCACAATTTAAAAAATACTAAGAGTTCCAATAAACTAAGAGTTCCAATAAAAATTAGACTGGGATATAAAACAGATACGAAAAGAATTAAACAGAAGTTCAAAAGAAGTAACATTCCAAGATAAGAAAGATTTTAAGTGTGAGACTTGGGTTTGTCTTTTTCTTTTTACTGGCACAGATAATTAGTTGATGAGTTTTTAAAATGAGCCTTTCAGGGTTTCAATTAAATTTTAAAAGGGTAACACAGATGATGGTGGTTAGCTATGAAATGTGTCAAACACACCAAAGCAGATGAAAGCAGCGTGCACTGGGCGCTCAGGCGCTCACCACCCAGTCCTGCAGCAGCTCTGCACCGCTGCTGTTTCATCCCACACATATCCTCTCCCCACCCAGCAACTCACCTTATATTCTCACCTTCTGCAAATTTACAGACATTACTAAACTTGTCTGACCTTTGCCACGCATACTATTAAACTTGAGTCTTTGTTTACGTTCTTGTTTGATGTAAAATCTAACAAAAAAAATCATGACCTTGTGTTTATGTGTATCATGGGTAGAGAGAGGAAGCTGGGGTGGCCAGGGGTTACAGGACCTAAAACTGACACAGTGGGTGGGTTAACAGAGGCACGGGGAAGGGAGTGTCTTCATCGCTGGCAGGGCTCATGGTCCAGAGAACCACTGTCCCCTTAGTGGGGACAGAGGCCACGTGCAGAACCTGGGCCTCTCTTCACCTGAAGTGATGTGAGGCATCTGCCAGCTTCCCCTGCCAGCGTGGTGTCAAGGTCTAGTTACAAGAGAACTTTTTTTTTGGTATCGGGGATCAAATTCACAACCGTGTGCTTGCCAGGCAAGTGCTTATGCCGCTGAGCTAAATCCCCACCCCCAAGAACTTTAAAAAAATTTTTTTTGGAGATGTCCTCACTATGTAGTACAAAATGGCCTTGAATTCTCTGTGCCACCTAGGCTGGCTTCTGCATCAGCCTTCTGAGTGCTGGCATTATAAGTGTGAACCACCATGTCTGGCTTTAAAAGAAATTTTAAGATTCAGAAAATCTCAACACTTCAAATATCCAGGATCTAATAAAACATCATTTATCTTACTAAGAAAACCAGGAACATCCCAGATTGAATTAGAAAAGACACTCAATAGACCAACACTAAGACAAACACAGATGGAAGAATTGTCTAAGATTTTAAAGGAGCCAAATAAAAATATGTTAATAACTTGAGAAGTGCTTGAAGAAAATTTAAAACATTTCCTTAAAAAGAAGAAAATCTCAACATTAAAAATGGAAGAAAAAAAGAAGAATGAAATGGAAATTCTAGAACTGAAAAATACAATCAAGAGAAACAAACAACCCCCCAACTCATTACATAGACTCAGTAGCAGAACAGAGGATAAAAGGAATTAGCCAATAAACTTACAGATCAGAAAGCAGGAATCATACAATCTGAAGAGCAGAGATAAAGTTGGTGAAAGAAAGATAAAGAAAAGAAAATCTCAGAAACTTGTGGGATTATAACAAAAGATCTACCATTTGGGTCACTGGAATCCCAGAGGGGAGGAGAGTCTGCAGTTAAACAGCATCTGACAAGATAAAGCCTGAGTAGTCTCCAAATTAGCCAGAAGACATAATCTCACAGATTTAAAAAGCTATTCTAAAGACAAAAAAAAAAAAAAAAAAAGCTATTCTAATGAGGATAAAGCCAAGCAATTCACGCCCAGTACACCATCAACTTCTGAAAAGCAAACAGAAAGAGAACATGTGGGAAGCATCGAGAAACAACAGCCATGTTCCCCTTAAGGGAGAAACAATTTGAATGATTGGATTTCTCATCAGAGCCAGAGGCTGACAGGAAGTAGCACAATATTTTTCACATACTCTCAAAAGAGAAGCACTGTCGATCTAGAATTGTAAGAATGAGCCTTTAGGAGAAATAAAATATTTTCAAACCGGGTGTGGTGGTGCATGCCTGTAATCCCAGCATTAAGGAGGCTGAGGCAGGAGGACCGCTGCTAGTTTAAGGCCAACCTGGGCTACAAAGTGAGTTCAAGGCGGGCCAGAACTACATAGTGAAACTCTATTTAAAAAAAAAAGATATTCGCAGGTAAAGTTTAAGAGATCTGTCACCAGCAGACCGACCCTAAAAGAATGGTTGAAAGACATTCTCTAAACAGAAAGAGCATGACTGTAAAAAAAAAGAGGAATTTTAGAACATCAGAAAGGAAGAGAGACCAAGGAAAAGCGTGAGAGAAAGGATTAAACCAGATCTGGGAGAAAGCTTCTGGAATCTGCTTGGTCAGTGGCGACCCCTACTGGCGCATTTCTGGTTTTTGTGCAGACTAGAAATGAGGATCATGATGACTTACTCCAGATCCAGAAGAAAGAAAGAGGAAAGCAAGGTGAAACCAAGCCCACGGCAGCTCCTCCAGACTTGTGCCCCTGCATGCTTCCAGCAATCGAGCAGACCCGGCAGTCTGAAGCCTGGTGTTTCACGGGCGTCCAGCTCCCTCCACCTTCACATCAGTCACACAGGTTCGGTGGCTTCTCACCGCTTCCATCTGCCATCTCCACCTAGACGCACGCCCCACGCACCAGACACTCCCTATTGCAAGTGCTGTCTACCTTGCCCTCACCCCAGCGTGGGTACTGGATGAGGAAGGTGACACAGCAAGGCCAAGTCACCGGGCCAAAGCCCGCACTCTGCGAAGGGGAGCCAGGGTTCAGCTCAGGCAAACCGAGTCCAGGTGTGGGTTTGGTTCTCTTGAAGAGAACGCTTTGCTGTCCTCTGACTGCCATGCCGGTCACCCCTGGCCCTCCGGTGGTTATTTCTGTTCCCTCTGGCTCCTTCACATTAAGACTGGGTCGCCCCTGGCTCCCAGCTCAAGCGCTGTCCGTGGGGGGGGGGGGGGCAGCTCTGATTGTGGACTTGCTGGTTATTTCCTAATGTAAATATCGGGCCCCAAGCTTCGCTCTAAGAATGCTTTAGTTAACTCTCTCTCCCAAGTTATACATTGCATGTTCACTTTTTGTACAGCACAAAATATATTCTAATCTTCCTTTTAAACCATTAGTTATTTAGAAATTTATTAATTTCCAAATATTCGCAGGTTTTCTCATTTATCTTTGTTATTGATGTCTAATTTAACTCCATGTGCTCCAAGACCATGTATTGTATGGGTTTAAACTCTTTCAAATTGGTTGAGGCTCATTTTCTGATCACCCATCTATCTTTGGGAATATTCCACATGTACTTCATATTTTTGGTAGTGGGGATCAAACTCATGACCTTGCACTTGCCTAGCAGGTGCTTGTGCTGTAAGCCAAACCCCTGACCCTCCACATATACTTAAAAGAAAGCATATTTTACTATTTCGAGGTGAAGTATTATACAAATACCAATTCAGTCTCATTAGCTGAAATGCTATTTGATTCTTTGACAGCCTTACTAATTTTCCGTCTGCTACTTCTACATCAGTGAGAGAGAAGTATTAAAGTTCCAACTCTAATTGTGGCTTTGCCTATTTCTCTTTTCAGTTCTACACAATTTCATTTCAAGTACCTTGAACTCTGATGTGGGCCGTGTGCATGGTCAGGGTTGTTAGTCTTCTTGGTGAATTATCTCTCACTGTGAGCTAACGACTACTTGGATGTTTGTGTCTTTTGAGTGGTGTATCTTTTTTCTTCCTTCTACTTTTAACCTATCTACATTCTTAAATTTATGGTGGCTTCTCGTACAGAGCATATAGCTGGGTCTCCCTTAGTTTTAATGTGGATTTTCCTGATAACTTATTACTTGTTCAGTGCCTTTTCTATTCTTATTGATTTGCCATACTTCTTTTTTAAAATCCAACTATTTTGCTCATTTAAAAAATCGAGTTGAGAGAGACCAAGATGGCGAGGCAGTAAGCAGCAGAGAAAACAGCCTCTCTGAGAGTCACTTTTCAGACAGTGGCATACAGCACTGAGGAAGACGAGGAGAGGAGTGGGGCCACGGGACCCAGGAAGCATCAGAAATGTGAACTGAAGCCCACAGAGAAGCCAAAGAGGGACTCACTGCCTGACAGGAGTGGTTCAAGCTAGCAGGCCCAGGGTGATGGGGACTCCAGAGGCCTCTGCAGAGGCAGTAGGGGAGGTCAGCAGCAGATGTGGAGGGCTGCACTGGCTGGCAGTGAGTTCAGAGGCTGGCTCCATCTAACAGCTCCCACCTGGGGTCACTCCTGTGGAAACTGTGTGGATGGCAGAAAGCCCAATGAGCCTGGTCTCTGGGCAGGCCTGCTGAGATCATCCACTATCCCACCAAAAGGCTACTGCTGGCTTTCTGGGAGAGATCTGTACCAATCACTCTATCTCCACAGCTTGTCACCTGGTGAAACCAGAGAGAAACCTGGAAATGGGATTATTTTTAAAATTTTTTTCCTCTTTCCCCATCACTGTTTGATCTTGTTTTTATATGAGTGTGAACTGGTCCCTGGCCTCTTTATGGATGTGGTTCTGTTCTTTCTTCCTTTTATCTCTTCTATCTCTTTTCCTTCAGTCTTCTGCACCAGTTTCCCAAAGTTGATGTGATCCTCCTTTGTCCACTAACCTCACTTCTAATCGCTTCCTCTTCTTCCACTTCTCTATTTTCTCTTTAATCCATTTTGAATTCTAACCCGAGGGCAAAACTGACACAGTAAGGACTTTTATACTGCATATAATTTTCTGGTTTGTTTTAGATCTTATTATGTAACTACAAATCTAGTTCACTATGGTTAAAAGTGTTGCAAACTGAGGGTTAGCTCAGTTTGTCATTTTCTAGGATGTGTTGGATGCTACTGGTACCACTATAGCCAAAATTGACATAATGTTCTAAACAGCTGTTGGTATTACATGACTGAGATTCACTAAGGGTTGCATAAAATAAGGGTTGCTATAGCACAGTGTCAAAGAACCAGGGACTGGGCTAAACAACTTCTCATCTCCAACAAACTGAAGAGGTCAGATCTTCCAATGGACTCAAACCCAAAACACAACTATTCCTGGAACGTACCTCAGAGAAGTAGTCATCACCTAGGGACCCTAAAAACAGAGTTAAAGAAAATGCAACCCCAGACATTAAGTTCACCAAAGGCAAATCCAGGAGCGATGAGGCGGGACAATCCAAAAGCCTCCCACCTGGCCTCCCTGAAGTGGTAGCAACAAAGCAATTAAGAGAGCCTCTGGAAAAAATGAAATCAGAAATAATTTCTCAGATAAAGTCCATGATTAGTGAAGCTAAAGCAGAAACAAACAAACAAACAAAACAAAGATGAGCTTAAGAAAATTATGGAACCTCAGCATACAAAAGAAATAGGATCCATAAAGCAGATTCAAGCAGACATCCAGGAGAATACATGTTCCATTGAAAGTATTCAATCCAGCAGCTGCTAGATGAGACAAAGAAGAGTAACTTAAGATAGACTGAAATCAATGAAAAAGTAGGAGATATCACAAATGACATTTTAAAAATGTTCACAGACATTAGGGCAGAAAATTTTCCTGGTAGAGAAAAAGAATTTGATATACAGATAAGCAAGGCAAATAGAACTCCAATTAGTTATGATCAAAAAATTCTACAGCCAGGCATACCATAGTCAAGATTCCAGAAATTCAACACAATAGAATCTTAAGAGCTGTTAGAGAAAAGAAACAAATCACCAAAAAGGAAAGCCCATCAGAATCACAGCTGACTTCTCAGCACAAACTCTGAAGTCAAGGAGAGCTTGGAGTGAAATATTCTGAGTTCTAAAGGAAAACAACTTTCAACCCAAACTGATGTACCCTACAAAAACTATCTTTCAAAATTGATGGAGAAATAAGATACTTTCATGACAAAGAACACCTGAGGAAATTTATAATCTCTGAAATCAGCACTCCAAAATGTTCTGAAGGACATTCTAGAAAGAGATAAAAAGGACTACAGTTCCATGAACTCCAACAGATGGAATCCACCAGGCAAGGCAAACAATTAGAGAGAGGGGGAAAAAAAGGAGGGGACCCAACAACAGGAAAATAACACGACAAGGATAAATCAATACATATTGTTATAACCATCCAGACTAATGATCTCAATTTACCAATCAAAAGACAGTTGGCAGAATGGCTCAAGAAGCAAGATCCAACAGTACGTTGCTTACAAGAAACACATTTAATTAAAGAAGAAATTCATAAACTGAAAATCAAAAGATGGAAAACAATATTCCATGCAACAGGAACCCAGAAAAAAGTAGGAGTGGCTATTTTATTTGTAGACAAAGTGAATTGCAAGCCAAGACCGATGAAGAAAGATAAAGAAGGTCACTACATCCTAGTAAAGGGAATAATCCAAGAGGAAGAGATAACCATCATAAATATATATGCAACAAATACCAGCACACCCAACTATATAAAACAAATGGGCAATAAAAATTCAAGAAGCCCTGATACAATTGTCTTAGGAGATCTCAATACCCCACTGTCACAAAAAAGACAGATCAACTAGACAAAAAAATTAATAATAAAATATTAGAACTGACTTAGTAGGTTATCTACAGTGTGTTCCACCCCACAACATCAGAATACACTTTCTTTTCAGTTGCACATGGACATTCTTCAAAACAGACACATACTGGCCTCTAGAAAATGTTTAAATAAATGAAAAAGACTTGAAATTATCCCACGCGTACTATCAGGCTACAGTGCAATGAACTTAGAAATCCATGGCAAAAGAAACCAGAAGAACTTCATAAACACATGGAAATTAAATAATACCCTGCTGAAAATCAATGGGTCACAGAAGAAATTAGACAATTTTTACAGTTGATCTTCGGGTCTGACTTTTTTTTTTGCCAGCACCATGCTGTTTTTATCATAGAAGCTTTATAGTATAATTCCAAGTCAGGGATTGTGATGCCCCCTGCCTTGCCTTTGTTGCCCGGGATTGCCTTTGCTATTCTAGGTCTCTTCTGATTCCAGACATATTTTAGGAATGTTTTCTCTAATTCTGTGAGATATGCTATTGGAATTTTGACTGGGTTTGCATTGAATCCATATAACAGTTTTGGAAGTATGGCCATTTTCACAATGTTGATTTTTTTGGCTTTATAAAATGTGCCAGGAAACATTTCTTCTTTATCTACTCTTTGGGAGAGTATGCATAAGATTGGTATTGTGCCTTCCTTAAATGTTTGGAGCAATTCACTACCAAAAGTATCTGCGCCTTGAGTTTTGTTTTTTTTTTTTTTGTGGGAAAATTTTTTAAATTACAATTTTAATTTCTTTAACAGAGGTTACTTAACTTTTCTAATTTATTATGCCAATTTTATTAAGTTTAATGAAATTATCTATTTTATCAATGTAAAATATATTGGCTCAAAATTTCTAATATCCCTTTACTGTTCCCTTAGGGTCTGTGGAAGCTGTGACAGTGTTCTTCTTCCTATGGCAGATATTGATAACTTGCTTCCTTTCTTTTTTTTTTTTTAATCTTTTTTGTCTTTTTCTTTTTTTTATGAGTACCAGGGATTGAACTCATGACCACACACTTGCAAGGCAAGCGCTTATGCCACTGAGCTAAGTCCCCAGCCCCTTTGCTTCCTTTCTTTTAAAAGTTTTTTGATCACTCTTACGGGGCATCTTTCAATTTTATTAATCTCTTCAAAGAATCAACTTTTTAAAAAATGTTCTTTTATTTGCTTTTTATTTCATCAATGACTCCTCTTATCTTTATTATTTCCTCCTTTCTCCAGCTTTAACTCACTATTCTATTTCCAGCTTCTTAAATGTTAGCTTACAGGACTGATTTTAAATCTTTCTTCTTTGTAGTATATGCAATTAGAGCTACGTTTCCACCGAAGCTCCCTTTAAGGTGAACCTCATGAAAGGTAAATTAATTTAGGAAAAGCCGGTCAGACTTGTTTGGTACTGTGTAAAAAGTAGTCTCGCAGGAATCAGGGAGAAGTTGAGTTAAAAAGGACACAAAGAAACAGCAGATGACAACACTCTGTTGATGAGGGTGTTGGACATAAACACAGGACCGCACTGTGTAAGGTCTGCGCTGTTGGAAACACTAGAAGACATGCACCAGGCCTTTTGAAGGTGAGAAACAATCTAAGGCTGAGACGGTTCGACGGGACTGAAGTGCCAGTGTCACATACCTCGCACCTGGAAGACCCGGGCGAGACGGCCAGCAGCAGGGCTGCTGTGGCTACACCGCATGTGTGCAGCAACAGGTGATGAGAGAGGCAGAGAGGAGGAGAGCGCACCCCTGCTACGTGCTGTGTGTTTGCTGTGTGGCTTTACCAACCCCGAAGGGCTCCCCTCCACCCTGGCGCCCTCACCTTGCTGCCATCGAAGGCACAGAGGCGCACGTGTCTGCTGAGGACTTGGAGGCTGGCTCCAGGGTGCGGGATCATCTTACAGCTCCACAGCGTGAGCACCAGCGAGACGCGGCTGGGTCTTGGCCTGATCTGAGAGGGGAGTTAGTCGGAAAGTGTATTTTTGTTACATGAAGTCCAGATCCACTGTCCAGAGCAGCTTTTGTAAGAGTGGCTTAAGAAAATATACACAGAATTTAAAAAGACAATAAGGAAAAATTGTACACAAACATATACCAATGTGAGAAAAGTCTTAATAGTCTGGTCATTTCAAGTCAAAACTAGTCATTCTGGGTAAAATTTTCAAAGCTGGATTTGGACTATCTGAATTTTTCCTAATGAGTTAAAAGCCGAGACAGGAAAAACAGGCAGTAGTAGCAGTGCAAGTGTCCGAGCTGACCACGGAGACACGGTTTCCCATCTTGGACACATGAGGGTCTGAGTGTGGATTACCATGGCACGACGACCAAGAACTCTGGCATCAATATTACCCAGCTAAGTGCTCCTTCTTTTTTAAAATTCCAAGCAACTATCTACCTTGTTCTTTGACATCTTACTTGCATCTGTTGACAGAGAAAATATACTATTTGATGAGATTATTCAGATCTATTTCACAGACAAGAGGTCAGATGAAGAATAAACAAACTGGCATTCTGGCTTTGGATTTTTAAAGAACTGCCTCAAATAGTTAACCGTCCATTTTGCTTTGTGACCACGAGCTGTTTCACTTAAATAAATTTGTCATTGAAATCGCAAGACAGTATCTAAAAGTTGTCAACTGTTTTAAGAAATGTGAGCTAAATATTTAGTTTTCTGGGCATAGATTTGTAACATTTAATGTACATTAAATAGACCAAATATAACATCTTTGTTGACTTAGAAAACAAGAAACTCAATGCTAAGAAGTTTCCAGGTCACACTAAGATTGGGAGGGAAAGGGGTGCTGAGGTCCTGCACCCCGACCCTCACTCCTGCAAACCTGACCACTAAGTTCCTCTCCCCTTAGACTGCAGGGGAGGGGGGTAGACGAGGGAGAAGATAAACAGAAGGGCGGGGATGTGTCTGACGGGGTTTATATCCGCTCTAAGCTGATATAAAGTAGAAGGAAATATCAGGCATTTTCTGCCTCAAACACAGAGACAGCAAGAGCCCTTTGCTCTTAGCCCTGCCCGATGCAGCTCTGCTGCTTCCTCCTCCACATGTACTTAACACAGTACTTCGACGGTACCACTGATGATGACACTCGCTGTGTCCATCAGCTTTCCAGTGCTGTAACAAATATCCGAGGCCATAGCTTTAAGAAAGGGCAAAGGTCTGTTTCAGCGCCTGGCTTCTGTCCTGGTCAGTTGGCCTCACTGTTCCTCAGTCCTGGGTTCAGGCAGTGCATCAAGGCGGCCAGGAAGCAGAAGGGAGCAGGGAAGGGGCGCAGCCCTGCGACCCGCGGCCCTGATCATGGACTTGCAGTCCATGGGGGATGGGGTGACAGACACCCACGCCTACCAGATGGCTAAACCTTTCTGTATAAAATTATTCTCTGTGCAACTCCACATGGGAAGGATGGCCAGCCCCACTTGTACAGATGAAGAAACAGGTAAAGAACAATTAGGATCGAAACCTGGCATTTTCCCTTTATAACAACGGGAGAAACAGAGCAATTAGAGAAGGGAAACAAGATATAGTCAAGGTACCAGGTCTAGGTTTTACCTTACCTATGAAACATCACATTTAAAGAATTCCAACGTGGAAACAATTCTTTGGTTCCTGTAGTGCATCCATTCACATGTTAGCTGTATTTACTGATGGTAACTACACTTACAGTGCCCGACTTGGCGTCCCACACTAGGTCTCTGAAGGCCAGTTGTGATGCCGTGAGCTCTGGCTGTAAGAAGGAACTTGCTCGAAATCGATTCCCTGTAAAGATAATTCATTCCTTGATTTTCTCACAAAAAGAGGAATAGAATTCAAAACCCAACATCCATATTACTGTACTGTGCTACGAATGTAGGAACACAAACTTCCAAAATGGCAAACTGCTTACTAGGAACTCTTTTTCCTTCCTTCTTTTCTTTTCTGTCTCTCTCTCCCCACCCCTTGCTTGCTTTATGGTCTTTTTGACAGGGTCTTACTATGCAGTTCAGGCTGGCCTTGAATCCACTTTGTAGCCTAGGCTGGTCTTACATTTTCAAGGATCCTCCTGCCTCAGCCTTTCAAATGCTAGGATTACATGCATGCACTACCCCACCCAGTTGTAATTTGCTTTCTGAGACAGAAGTTTGACCCATACTTATTAACACAATATAACATTTAAAGAAATAAACAGGTAAAAGATTATCTTAAGGAAGCTTAAAGAAAGATCTTAAAGAATTTTAGGCCAATAACATGCCTCATAGTGAAGATAATTCATTCAAATATTTTTGTAAAATGCAGAAATCCCTAAGCATTTTGCAGACTTTAGAAAAAAAAAATAACCTGTGGTTCCATGGAACACAAAAGCATTTTTACTCTTTGGCTCCAGTTTAATTATGAAGAATACTTCTATTTTCAGCAGAATACATTTATTGAGAGAAAGAAAGCTTCTGTCCAAGTGAGAGACAGAAGGGGTCCCAACTGGGTTGCCCTAGTTATGAAGAATACTTCTTATAAAATCACTTAGTCATCCAACAAATAGAGTCCCTGTTCTGTGCCGAGCGCTATGCTAGGAGCTGGAGAGGGAACAGTGAATGAGGCAGATGTGTTCCCTGCCCTCACTGCTTACAGCAGAGTGAAGGAATGGGTGTCCAGGTGCAAGGCAGTAGAGGGACCCACACGATGACATTATGAAGGCCCCTTCCCCCTTGTAAGGTGGGGTCTGCCCCGAGACCGGTGGGATGGGAGGGGCACTTGAGGGGTGTCGGCAACCCCAGTGCAGCCCTTCCGTGGGTAACTTAGCAGTCAGGTAGACAGGAGACGCCCTGCCCTGCAGGACTCCACTCTGAAATGAGCCAGCTACGGGGAAATCCGGCTGAATAAGGAATCAGAAACCCCAAATGGAGAAGGAATCTGGAGAAGCCCTCTGAAAGAGGAGCAGTAAAGGGAGGCTTAGGCAGCACGGCCAGCGCTGGGGGCGGTGGTGTGAGGTGCGCTGGGAGGACCGAGCGGGGAAACAGGTGCAGGCTACAGACACTACGATCAGGGGTTTTTGTCTGCTGTGGGGGGAAGATGAGGAAAAGATGAGAGTCAGCGAGCAGTGAGAGTCAGCATCGTCCTCAACATTACACGCCTAACTGCTTAACCCGGTCACCTTCCTCCAGCAGCTGGGCCAGCGTGGAGGGCCGGAAGCCCGCAGGAATGGCCCCCATGGTGGCGAGCACGTCCACGGTATTTAGCTGCTGAAGAGAGGGGAACAGAATGAATCTGCTTGCTTTCCTTCACGCTGCTTCACTTCTGTAGTGCAAACACATAGACTTTAAGGGGAAAATACTGCCATGGGGCCCCCAATTCCTGAAAGCAGTAACCAGCCCCGAATCCCGCCCTTCCCAAGGGCCTGAGCCTCACACCGAGCTCGGAAGGCAGAGTTCTAGACCAGTGCTTCTATGCATCCTTTATCAAAACGGACCCTCTGCTCTGCTCCCCCATGCATGGCCACTCACTAGCCTGAACACTGAGACTGATTCCCACTGAGGAATTAAGGGTGCTCTGTGTATGTGAATACACACGCACACACACATACACACACATGAGCACATGCTTAAGTAAAACATGGAATGAAATGTCAGGAAGAATATCCACTAAACATAGTGATAATAGTGATGATCTGAGGGAAATTTTTCATTTTGTTCTATATTTTTTTAAATGATAGGATTACAGGTAATTTGTCAGATTTTTCCAAACAGTAAATGAAATTTAGTCTTCAACAAAATGATAGAAAATTCTAGTAGGATCAGTGAGAATAGTTCTGAGCCATCAAATGATACCATGAATCAGAGGATCGAATCTTTCTTGTACAAAAAGAGCTAATGAGAAATATTACGTGGGGCGTGGGTTTACTGACCAGGAATGTGTTTTTTCTTTACATTCTTCCTATGCCTTGAGTGCTGTCTGTGACCTCTGCTCTCTTTCCAAGCTTCCATCCCATTTGAGTCTGAACTCAATCAGAGCTACTTTGTAATGATACAGAAACAAGACACCAACCACACTTTATCTATTAAACAGATTGTTAAACGTGAAATAGCAGCCGTCATCACTAAGGCAGGAGTTACTAACCTCTGAGATGGCTTTGCGAACCGCACTCCAGTGGGAATCGGTTCTGGGGAGACAAAAGAGCAAGTGACAGGTTTCGCTCTGGGTTCACCTGGGGAACCACAGTCATCACAGAGCAGAACCTCACTGTCAGTGAGGCCTCAAAGCCAAACAGTCCCTAGATGAAACCGAGCTAGGGCTAAAGGCGCTACATAGTAGCTACAAGATTAAAGCAGTGATGAGCTGTAAGCAAACAATCATAGGGAAAGCCCCCAAGAGTAAGTTGTGTCCTCTTCCAGAGAGTTTTGAAGAGATGCAACTCAGTATAGGTAGGAGGCTCTGGGTTCAACTCCAGATCCGAAAAAAAAATTAATTAATCAAAAAAGAATAAAAGAAAGTCTGGAGTCTTGTATAAAAGTAAAGTAGAAAGTTCCCAAGCCATTCGAGGTCTCTGCCCATCCGTACCGTGGCTTAGCTTCAGCTCCGTCTGCAGTTTCATCCTCCACGTCCACAGCCTCCTCGCTGTCCTGGTCACTTGGTTCCTGCTCTTCTTTTTCTTTATTGCAGAGCTGGGGAAGCAGTGAAATAGGAAGTGCTCTTCAACAGGTGTAGCAATCAATCAATAAAAATCCTAGCTCTTTCCGAAAGACTCAAGCATAGCAGGGAAATTAGAATACAATAGAAAAAATATGATAGGAAAGAAGTTTTCAGCATATAGTTGATGACTTCACTATGTGATAAAATGGCAAAGCCTGAGGCAGGCAGCAAGTTCTAACCAAAATAAACCCAGATGGGATTTATGCCAAGGAAAAAAGTTACGGTCAAGATAAAAGAAATATAAAAGTATTATAAGAAGGTCATCTCGAGATGAGGAAACCCTTAACAGTGATGATAACAAAGGCAAAATTGTAAGTGAAACACTGACAGATCCAGACAATGAAACACACACAGAGCTGAGAGTCAACAAAGACAATTTCTAAGGACCAATACTTCTATTATTAAAATATTACAGAAGCTCTTATAAATCAATGAGTAAAAGATTTCTAAAAATCCCCTGAAAAAATGTCCAAAAGACCAGAAAAGGCAATTCACAGAGAAGGAATAAAAATGGTCACAAAACACGAAAGGTCGCTCAACCTCCTTAAGAGTATAATGAATGCACTTAAAAACAATGAGACTGCTTTTGCCAATCACGCAGGCCAAAAATTAAAAAAAGATTAATTACAGTTAACACTGGCATTTATATGGGGAAACACTCAGAGGCTGGAGGTGGGAGAAGAAATTGGCAAAATAAATCAAGACAATAAAGATGTAAGTCCTGTGAGGCTGTGACAAACATCCGGAATTTATGGAAGAGGTATAATTAAGCAACTTGGCACAGACACACGAGCAGACTGATCAAAATGGGCGGGTGGTGGGCTGAGACCTGGTCGTCCCCACCCCTTCCTCGCTGGCAGAACCCGGACTTTTGCAGGCTGCTAGGTGTTGCCATGGAACCAGATGCTGCTCAGTGAAGTATAACTTGAAGTTTTTGTGTGGCTTCCGGAAAACTAACACTATGCCGTTAGATTTCTTCCCTCTCTGTCTTTCACTGCATAGACGCATTACAAGATCCAGCAGCGGATCTGCTTAACAGGAAGAGCTGCTTCACGTGTAGCTACAGAGTAAAATATTATACAGGGCTTTAACCAGTGCTGGATTGTCTATCTTCACATTCCTTCCTCTCTTGAAAGAAATGGGCTTCTCCTCAAGGGTGGCCACTTCCTGGGGAGAATCCTCTGCACTCAGGGGCAGCTGATTGTAGCTTCTTTGTAATACAATAGTGATTACAGGTTGAACACAATCTAAACGCCTACCTAAATGAGACCAGAATCCTTGCTGCCTCTCAAAACATGATCCAGACGCCACCTGTGCAATTCAGCAGCCCTTGACTGCATGTGGCTACCGAGCTTTACATTTTAGTTCAGCTTGAGATGCACTGTAAAAGCAAACCCCACACTGGCCTATGAACTCCGTGTAAGAAGTAAAATAGCTCCATACTTTCAAATACTGATTGCATGTTGAAATTGTACATTCGATACACTGGATAGAATAAAATACATTATTTAAGACAACTCCATTGTTTCATTTTTAAAAATGTAGGTAATAAGAAATAGACATCTGATCTCTCTCTGTTCCTGGCAGACACAAAGCCTTGGAATTTCCTGAATGATACCTTGTGTTTTCTTATCCATAGGGGTCCCAGTGGTTATGCTAATGAGGCAACTTTAGATGGCCTGCAGACAACTACAGGGATTGGCTGGTTGCCAGAGGAACCAACCATGGGATTAGACATGGAAATGCTCAGCCCCATGCGCCAGCCTCTGGGGAAGAGAGAGGAACTGGTGCCTGGTAATCACCCATGGTCAGTGATTCAACTAGTACAATTAACCGAAATCAACTAAACCAAGTGGAAACACCCTGCGATCCTCTGGGCTAGAGAACACATCAAGATACCAGGAGGGTGACATACCCAGAGATGGCGTGCAGGCCAGCCCACCCCAATACCATGCCCTGTGTATCTTTCCTATTTAACTATATCTGAGTTAGGTCCTGTAAAATAACCTGGTAAATGCAAATACAATCTTTCCTCAAGAGATCAGTTCCAAGACCTTTCAGGAAGACCAAAACCCAAGGATGCACAAGTCTCCTATATAAAATGGTACAGTATTTGCCCATAACCTGGACCCATTTTTCTGTGTACTTTGAATCATTTCTAATTACTCATAATACCTAACACAATGGAAACGCTATGCAAATGATTGTTGTACTGTATGGTTTAGGGAATAATGACAAGAAAAAGTTTGTATATGTTCAATATAGATGCAATTTGTTTCTTCAAATACTTTTGACGTGATGTTGGTTGAATGCACAGATCAGAAATCCTTGGAGACAGAAGACAAATTGTAAAGTGTTTCCCTGAGTTCCATGAATCAGCATGGTGAATTTCATACCCCTGAAGAAGGGTGAAGGGGATCCCTGAATTTACAGACCACCAGTCCTAAAAACTGATGGCTTCTGGAATTTCTATGCTTGTCATCGAACCTGGTGCAGTCTTGCAGAACGGTGTGTCAGGTCTCCAGCAATGAGGAAATGAAATATATCTTTGGTGTCAGAGAAGTCTCACATATGGTATCAGAGGTGGTGTCAAGAAAAAAGACCCCTCAATGTGATTACTGGAAGATTTAAAATTCCAAATGCGGTATGCATTTGAATTCTCTTGGCAACACCAACTCAGACAGATGTCTACCCTACTTGGCAGAGAAAATGATCATACTCTATCAGGAAACAAAATAGGCTACAAACATGTGTGCACTGTATGTTCACACGAGGAAGGAGATGATGATACACAGTGGCCCCTTGATTATGACCTCGCATATGAACATCTTGGGTTACGACTGGATTTTAGGTTGAACTTATGACCAAAGTCTTGAGTTGTGGCCCAAATGCCGGCTGCTTATGCAGCTGTAAACAAAGACGCACGACGCCAGCATAGTGTAGGAGGGCACAGGTAAGCATCAGTTTGTGCCCAGATGTGGGTGTCTGCAGGCATGATTTTGCTGAGTGCTTTATATAATTGCTCCGATTGCTGCTATCAAAATGGCCCCCCAAAAGCTACAAAAGCAGCTCAGGAAGGAATGAAAGGTAAAGAAAGAAACACAATCAAAAGGAAGAAGGAAACCGTGGAGAAATACAAAGGTGGTGTTCATGTGACCGATCTTGCTAGTATGTACAGCATGTGGAAATCCACCACATCTCAACAATCTTAGAAAAGATTTGTATAGGGAAGCTAGTGTTGCTCAAATTGGTAAGTCATGATCAACAGCATTAGACGGGCTAGAAGGCCTTTTAGAGGACCTGGCAGTTAATGCAAAGTTAACATGAAATGCCTTGCTATGAACAGTATTAACCTGCAAAGCTTCACTGTGAAATTTGTGCCAGGGCTCACAGGCATAAAAGCATTTCACAGGAACCCAGACCCATTACACACGCGGGTTTTCCTCACTCTATCTCTAAAATTAAAGCAATTTCTGTATCTCAACCCATTCACCAATCAATTGATCAAAAAATATAACAATGTTTTATTAAAAATGAAAATAGTTGAAGGGGAGAAAAGCATAAACAAGGACTCACCTCTAGGTAGGTTCTGGGAATAAGCCCTTCATTTCCTTCAGCATTCTTTGCTATCCACCAACCGTCAGGCTTTTTTTCAATTATAAGGAGAATTTCCCCTTTCTTAAAGCAAAATGCAATACAAATTTTAAAGGAAAACTCAAAAGACATGAGACTTACTTCATTACTAATGCTTTAAAATGCATGGCAGAAGAAAGGTACAGTATTTTTCCCATCCATTGCTTATCCCAATTTTTATCACCACCCTACCCTAAACCTACATGATGATAATATAGCTATAAATAAATCATTCCACTTGGTTGCTTAACATTCATTTGAATCCTATGTGCAAAGGGAAGCAATTTTCATAATCATTGTCAGCAATGATTCCAGCAATTGGATCACTGTATAAAATATCTTTGAGTTTCTGAATCTCTTTGTAGAGTATCTTTTAGAAGCAGTATACATATCCTTGAAGAAAATCAACTGTGTTAAAACTTAAACCTTATTTTGAAGCAAAAATAGTATTTTCTCAATATGTTTGTCTGCCTAATTCATGTTTTGAATAATACTTGTCCATGAATAAAAATATAATCCAACTTGGAAAAACAAAGAATTTCTATTATAGAGGACATTTAAAAGCAAAGACTTTTACAGAATATACATTATTTTTTTTTTGGTACCAAGGATTGAACTCATGACCTTGCACTTGCGAGGCAGACGCTTATGCTGCTGAGCTAAATCCTCAGCCCTACGAATATACAGTATTGCCTAATGTTGATAGTATTTTCTGGGAGAATCTGAAAATAAACTCTATGAATTAAAATGTATTAGTTGTACAATATCCTTGCATATTTTATTAGTAATCAGTTATGAAACTTGCAGGTAAATAAACACAAGGCCCACAGTCTGTACATTCATTGATATTTCCTTGACTTATTTTGCTAACAGAAAACAGTTTCAATCCCCCATCACCCTTTTGAGCTTTGTTTTTCTGGAGACAGGATCTTGCCATGTATCCCAGCTGGGCTTGAACTTGCATTCCTCCGGCCTCACCTTCTAGAGTGCTGAGTTTACAGGAGGGCACCACCACACCTGGATCCCAATCTCTTTTATTTATTTTTTAAATTTTTTTTTGTCTTTTTGAGACAGGGTCTTGCAATGCAGTTGCAATGAGTCAGTCCTTGAACTCACTTAGTACCGTAGGCTAGTCTTGAACTTGCAGTGATCCTCCTGCCTCAGCCTCTGAGTGCTAGGATTACAGATGTACACCACCAAGTCCAGCTCCAATCTCTTTTATAAACACAATGGGATTTTCCATCCCAGTTGCTATTTATTTGTACACAGGCCAAGCAAGCCCCTTTCCTATCTGAACCAACAAGGAGACGTGCCACCTGACCAGTGTCCCCTGCTGCCTCTAGCTAAGCACACCGTCTCTACCTGTGATGATCAAAAACAATCAGAAAATTCTGCCCCCAATGAGAATTACTGACATGAAAGCTCTTTTTGAAATGCCTTAGAAGAGGTAACTTTAATGACAGAATATCATATTACTACCACTTACAAATGATTATTTATTTGAACAGTGTTAAAAAAATATATAAGGACTATGTAACACAGGTGTACAAAACTGGCTCTGGGGTGCATTCCTGTAACAGCAGCACTTGGGAAGCTGAGGCAGGAAGACTGTCATGAGTCTAAGGCAGCCTGGGATATTCAGTAAGTTCAAGGCCAGCTTAAACCATGAAGTGAGACCCTGTATCAATCCCCCTCCTCCAATACAGGCACCCAGGCAGAGTTTTCTTAGTGTACTAAGTGTGCAAAGCTACCTTTAGATAGTTTCAGGTTTCTTCTACTCACTTTAAATGTAAGATCCCCAGCTTGCTGGGCAGTAAAGTCACCAAGGGCAATGTATTCTTCATTTGCTGCTTGTTTGAGAGATTCCTCTCCCTGCTGCTCTTCCTCCTCTTCTGACTCTTCTTCCTCCCCATCACTTTCTTCACTGTCTTCTTCTCCTTTATCATCATCATCACCATCACCACCATCATCACCATCATCATCACCATCCTCCTCCTCGTCCTCGTCCTGTTCATCTTCAGTAGAATCAGCATCTTCCTCCCTTTCGGTATGGGCACCAGTCCTACAGAAAGCATTTCTATGACTCGGCCATTTGAAATAACATACAAGAGCAGAGCAAATATGAGTAGAATTTCCATGTGTAGAAAAACTGCTCCATATTTAGAGCTGGTAAATAAAAGAAACAAGGGGAAATTACAACCAACGATTTCCACCATCCGGCTGAGCAGGTGCGCTCTGAAGCGCTGGGGGCTTCAGATTTATCTGAACAAGGCATGCAAGAGGGCAGAACATGGGCTTGCACTCACGAACGCTACGCAAATCCTGGAATCATCCACTGGGCCACTGTTCCTGGAGCGACTTTACAGAACTTAGCGCATGGCTGGTTTACATTCCGGTTCTATCTCCTCTTCCCTGGATGACCTTACTAGGTTTCTGATAAGCTCTCCCTTTTTCACTGATAAGGCCAAGATAATAAGATTGTATTCCTGTCCTGGTCACAAGAATTAGAAGAGTCACAACCTGCTAAGTGTCGAGAACTTGCCCTTAGCGAGCTTTCGGTCCAAGTGGGTTATGGTGATAATGACATTGCATGCCAGGTTCCACGTGAGACACGAGGGATGCCAAGGTGGACACTGTGCTAAAGGAGCTTATGTCGAGAAGGTGTAGGACACAGACAGTTTCAATTCAGCTCCACAGGTACTACGGTAGGCACCACAGGATGCTAAGGAATCGAACAGGACAGACACCCAACCAGACTGTGCTTGGGATCAGAAAAGGCTTAGAATTAGGGCTTCAGGATGAGCTGGAATTTAGCTAGGCAATAAAGAGTAAAAAGAAGGCAGAGGGAGAGGAAAAAGGAAGTTCAAGACCAGGGAACATTAAGTAGCTCACAAATGGCAGGGCAAGGCTCAGGCAAAGAGCCCAGAAGAGGTGGGCAGAACGCGTCCCTGTGCGGTTTAACTTAAAACAAATGGAGCTAATGATACTTAAACTAATGCAAAAGAACATCTAACTAGCAAGACAGCCTATGATTTTCTAGAGCAGCGGTAGCAAACCTATGGCATGCAGGCCTCGCAGGCTGTTTACCATCACTGAGAGCTCTAAAAGGTTCACCATCACTATTCTAGAATATCTTGGCTTAAAATAGGTATAGGACTCTCATAGGATACTGCCCTACACACAAACAGAAACTGAATAAAAATAATCTTTGTACCTCAAGAACAAAACTCCATAAGCTATAGCACACTGATTTTCAAGGCACCCCTTTAAGAGATACCCTGCATGTATTTCACATGGGACAATTACTCCAGAATGCTGCCAAGGGTAACAGGAATTTGGCATGGTTTTTCACTTCCATGAATGTTGATGTGGTGGATTTTAATCATCAGTTCCTTAGTGTTAAACCAACCACTGGTTCTGGAATAAATTCTACCTGGTCAGGATGTGTCCTCCTTGTGATCTGCCTCTAGATTCGGTCTGCTAGTACCACAATGAGCATGCCTTTGCACATGATTTTCTTACAGTGCTTTCTGTCAGGATTTGCTATCAGTGTTATCTGGCAGCTCGTACAATGCTTTGCATTCTTCTTCTAGTCTCCAGGGAGATTTTATAACAGTGGTATTAATTCTTTGTTAAGTATTTGCAGTAATTCACTAGGGGAAGCGAATCAGCTCCCTTCTCCCTGCTGCACCTTGCTCCGATGTCTCAGGGGCCTCAGCTCCTCAGTGCAGTGAGGCTGCTCGTTTCCTCTTGCGGCCCACCTTCCTGCAGCAGAGCCCATCGACATCCCAGGGAGAGAGCCTGGGTGAACACAGGCCCCGCCCTGTCTCTCCCCAGATCAGGTTATCAGCCCTGCTCGGTTGACCACGATGCCTGCAGACAGCTGCTCCGATACTCTGCCCAGAGTTCAGGGCTGTTTGTGGTGGGAAGAAGCCCAGTATCAGCGTCCTGTAACTCTCACCCGGGATTCTGGAATTCTTGCGTCTACATATGTTAGTGTTTTTTCCAGGGTGCAGTGTAAAAAGCTGGAACCACAATCAGAGTCTGAGTAGTCTGAATTGATTGTTTTTTGGCTCCCTAGAAATTGGGTTTGTTTACACATAAAAGTCTTATTGCAAATTACAAGATTTGTTATTAATAATCCCTCTAGTAGAAAAATAATGGATGTTTATGCTTGAATTTTTGAAGAACACCTACCCAAGGACTATGTAAACAATCCAGGTTATTTTACCTCATACACATTGATAGTGACATTAAAGGCATTGTTCTTTTCAGATCTGCTGTTTCATTAACTAGATTATAAATAACATGAAGTTAGAGACTATAGTTTATGCCTCTTTATAACTCTCATAGGCTCCAAACACATTCTATTATACATAATAAATAAATGTGGACTGGTTATACAGTTAGTTATTGTTTTTTGTTTCTACAGTTATATGTCTTTATCCTGAATCCAATATAAAAACTGGTGGTGCTATGCACGGTACTCTAGGAGGCTGAGGCAGGAGGATCACAAGTTTGAGCCAAGATTGGACAAGTTAGTGAGATTCTGTTTCAAAATAAAAAATAAAATTTTTTAAAAGTCTGGGGATGCAACTCAGTGCAAAAGCCTTAGATTCAGTACTGAACATATTTTTTTTTTAAATCTAAAAAAAGGAGAGGAGGCGTACCTGGTCATATTTTCTTTACTTATGGCCATGGCGAGTTCCTGTAGCTGCTGGGTGAGCTTCTCCAGGAGGCTCTGCTCCTCCGCCTTCCTCTGATCATAGTTCCCCACAGGGGCTGCTTCGTCGGCCTGAGAGAGAGCATGGCCGAGAAAACTGATTTCGCTTTCCTAATCATATTTATTTTAAGAGAATAAAACCAAAGACTCCATCAAATGCTGCAAAGCAAAATAAATGCCCTGTGAAATGAGTCTGTCCTGCAGAAATGAGCTAAGGAGGAACTGTGGCTCTGTCAGCGAGGGACAAGCTGTGACCACAGACTGGCTCTACAGCCAACACGACAGGGGCCGTTCCTAAATTCCGCCACTTTAGTGACAGGAGGACCTGATTTCTTCTTCTATCAGAGCCTGTTTTCTCCTCTGTGAACCACGCATAGTTAAGTTCTCAAATCTAGGGCTCCTGTCTCCTAAGCTGGAAACTCTGGTGTCCCTGGAGAAATGCAGAGATGGCATCCAGATCCGGGGAGCAGGACTCAGATGCAGGTAGGAAGGACTTCAGACTCCGCCTTAAGTCTCCGTGGGTCTGCAGCCCTGGACACCGAACTGAAGCTGAGGCTCAAACATGAAGGATCCTGAAGGGATGGCGAGGGTGGACTCAGCCTCCTGCCTTTGCAGAGCCAGTGACGTCAGGGCCACTGCCACGTGACACGGGGCTTTGTCATCACTTACCTCAGGACCAGACAGTGTACTCTCTCCTCGCGATGGGATTAAAATATAAAAACAGTTCTAATCAGCAGCCCCTGTACCTTATAGTTTTTAAAAATCAGGTGACTCATCAGAGCTGGGATGGTCTGCGGTATCCGAGCTGTGGCATTTCTGCCCCACACAGGTACTTAGTGACCTCTCGGGCACAGCTGTTGTCAGACTCCTTCCCTATCGCAAACCCAGGGCTTTGGCAACTGCATTTCCTTCCCAGTGAGGGACAATATTTGATAACACATTTTTTTTTGTAATGTCACTAATTATAATACTTACCTTCTTTAATTTTTGAAGAGTGGTTTTATTTTCATCAATTGCCTGTTTTAACTGAATACATCTAAATTTTTAAAAAGAAAGAGAACACATTGGTTTACTGTTGTCAGAACAGGAAAGCTATTTTATAAAATTATTTGCCGACTCTAGGCAGCAAAGAAATTAGCTATTCCATGAACTGATGTTTAAAATTTCACATGGAAATGCTTTTCTAGCCATTAGCTTTGATGATCTACAAAGTGTATTTAAAAATACATTTTGGAAAATTTCATTCACTGTTAGGTCAATATTAGTTCCACTTGTGTTTTTGGAAATTGTATAAATAAAAAGGAAGAAAAGGGATGGAAGTAAAGAGAAGAAAGAAAGAAAAAGAAATAAAGCTTAAAACGATTTCAGTGTCTTAAACACTACTTGAAATGTAAGCACAGTTCCTAGGAAGTTCATAGAAGTTAGCACACTTTACCTTTGGTAAACATCTTGCCTTTTACTGGGCTCTAGAGTTGCTTTCAACTGGCTTTCAGAAAGTAAAGTATCAACCTATGGCAAATGGAGACAGTTTAAAACGTCACTTTAGGAGATAAACTAAATCTCTTTTTACCTCCAATATATAACAAGCAGTTTGAAACATACAATAATAAAGTTGAAAGAATTTTACAGCAAATACTTATTCACTTATAACTAGATTCTACCTTAAACATTTTATTATGCCTATTTGATCTATCCATCTATCAATCCGTCTTGTTTTATATGCATTTCAAAGTAAACTTTAGTCATCAGTACAACTCTCCCTAAATAACAAACTTAGGGTCAGGAATTACTTCAGTGGTGTTAAGAGCCTGCTTGGCAAGTGCGAGATTGTTTCAATCCCCAGTACCTAAAAAAAAAGAATGACCTTGGGGGTGTCATTAACTAGAGTTTAATATTTGCTATAAATGGACACACCAGATACACAAACCTAAAGTGTACCTTTGTCACAGTTTGACAAACATATACACTTATAGAACCCAAATCCCTATCAAGATACAGGAAATTACTGAAAGGATTTTGCCCCAGATGGGACACTGGAGGTGGAATCAAGGGGCTCTATCTTGAGGTCACCGTTCCCGCCCCGAGGCAATTTACCTGTGGCAAAAAAATGAATTCCAATGGGCTACCAGTGCATCAATAATGCCCCTTAGGCACCACCCCAAACCTAAGCTACATGTATGCCCCCATACCACGGTCTGGTGGAGAGAATGCCAGACCCTGGAGGTCATAGAGTCTCTCTCCACATTCTTTAAATAAAGGCAGCTTTTATTTCATACTTATCTTTTTAGCCACGCAGAAAATTCTATCAGATGGTTCCCTACCATGCAGAAAATTCTATCAATTACCTCAGAAAGTTCCCGTTCCAAGCAAATCTCTATCCCATCTTTCCAGAGACAAACCTGTTTATTTTTTTCCACCATAAATTAACTTTAGCTGCTCTTAAACTTTGAAAAAAATGGACTTACACAGTATATATTTATGTTTAAATTTCTCTACTGTGCTGTTTCTAAGATACTTCCATGTTATTGTTAGTTTATTCTTTATTACTGAGTAGAATTCATTGAATCAAGTGTACCACCACTTTGTTTATCTTGATCTAATATTTTACAAGCACTACATGTACTACGTATATTCTTGTCAAAGCACCACAAAAAAAGCACATCTCTGGGTTTTTTTCTACAGATTGCATGAGAAGATAGTAGATAAAAAAAGAGAGAAAATTTCATTAACTTCTTCTCTGTGTTTCCTATGTGGCATCCACCTGAGTGTTACAAAATCATACATTGATTTTGATAGGGCAGGTTATCACAGGCATGCCCCAAACAGGAAGTGGATTCCTTGCCTATGGACACTGAGTTGGTAATACATTTCTTTGTTTCTTTTCTTTTGTCTTTTTTCTTTCTTTCTTTTTCTTTTTTTTTTTTTTTTTTTTTTTTTTTTTTTTGCTTCAGGCGTCTGTTGTGGAGATAGTAAACAATTAGCTAATATTATCAAAATGTTCTTTCCAGATACTTGAAGTATTAAAATGCTCATGATTCAGTTTGATCCCTGCAATAGTCGGTTTTATTTTGTTTTAGTAATTATTTTTATAGTTTCCTTCTGAAACTTGTCCTGGTCCTTCTAATGTTCCACTAAATTTAAAATCACGTAAGAACCATATTATTGTAATCCCAAATTTTGTATACAGTCATCCAAGAATTATAATATAGAATATAAGGGGCTGGGAATTTAGCTCAGCGGCATAAGCACCTGCCTTGCAAGCAGGCGGTCGTGAGTTCGATCCCTAGTACCGATAAAAAGTAAAAAAAAAAAAAGAGCAAACAAATATAGAATATATATCTATATTATAATAAGATAGCATATATCCCTTTTTCAGTTTTCTTCACAATCCAAAGAGTTATATTTATAATCCCTGAGGCTTTATTGGGATCCTGGCAAGTTAATTCCAATTTACCAACTCCAATGCAACCCACTGTGACAGTAAAGACACCATGATATATTCCAAGTTAAGGGCAGCCAAGGGGTCCTAAATCCAATCCTCATGAGGAGGTGCAGACAGAGGCCCTGATCCTCAGCCTCTCCCAGCATTTATTATCTTGTGAAGAAGGGGGGTGGCTCGAGGATGAGCGACAGTGAGGATAGTGGGAACTCACCACCTCCCATGAGGATGTGCAGACAAAGGCCCTGATCCTAAGTCTCCCCAAATTTATTATCTCGTGAAGAAGCTGGTGCCTTGAGGATGAGTGACAGTGAGGATGGCGGGAATTCCATAATTCTGTGGATAACTTAAGCAGCCTGGCTAGGTAGGGAGAAAAGCATCTCTGCAAAATGCAGACATATGGATATGCAGAGGGATCGATTTGCATAATTCAATTAAAGTAGTAAATAAACTGTTTTAGGAGGCTGTTGCTTTGGTTTCTGATATGTAAGCTTTGGTGCCCTGGCGAGTCACACCCTCTTTACCTTGAGCTCCTACCCAGCTGACATTCCTGGAGCTGATGGCTCTACCATCCCACTGTGTTCACATCCTTTACAGGTAGAACACCACGTGAGGAGACTGTCTGTGGGCTTTAGAGATTACATACCAGTACTTCCCTAGCCTTGTTTGCAATCTTAGAGTCAATTGAAGAGAGAAGGAAATACAACAGTCAGCTTTGTACATATCAGAATAAGGAAATAAGTTTCCATATAATCAAAGTTATAGCAATTATTCTGCATTCAAGGGGAATCACTCAAATTTTCTCCCAACCTTATTAAGTCTAATAAAATTCAGCAGAAGTCAGGGCCCCATCAAATTTTACTTTTATTTCTCAAGAATATTTTGTTTTTATTGCATCACTATGATTCCAAAGTCACTATAATTCACTAAATTTTATCTTTCAAAGTCACTAAAATTTATCTGCCAAATCTTTTGTACTTTGTTCAATTTATTTTTAACTGATACAAAAAACCCAAAAATTATATATTTTATGAGGTACCAATGATATTTCAATACATTTATACCTTGTATAACATTTAAATGAGGTTAAACATACCTATCTCCTCAAGCAATTATTACTTCTTTATGATGAAAATATTTAAATTTTTTTTCCTTTCCCATGATATGGAGATGGTCTTACACATGCTAGGCAAGGGTGAAAACATTTAAATTTTTTTAAACTTTTAAATAAGAGTTTAAACAGCATAAAATAATGAACCTGAGATCATCTTATAACTGTCAAAAAATTTAATAATTTTATTTTAGTGGAAAAATATATGGTGAATCAGACTTTTAAAAAGTACAAACAGTAAAGTGAAATGTAAATTTCAGAAAATAAATGAACAGTCCATTACTTTTTTCTTATTTTTAAAATAAGCACTCAATGCTTTGAAAATATACACAAGGAAAATAACCTAGTGTTGTTTAACCATACCCGTACCATTTTAGTATGCTACCTTCTATCTCTGTCCATGTCACCAGAATATTGTATAATCCTTTCTATGTCTCTAACTTGCTATTTTATCATATTTTCCCTATATACTATATGCCTCAACAAATTTTAGTGACAATATTATCCTACCCCTAAGTTATTTATGTTAGGTCCGCCCACCTGAGAGACAGCACAATCATCACAGCAGTGGTTCAAAGCTGTGCCCTGATAACGCACACTTCCTTCTTCCCAGAAGCCCCTACGGCTTCTCCCTCCCAAAAGTCTGCCAAATCTCAGGCATGTAAAGATTTACCCAATCCTCTACAATTTCAAAAAATAAATCAGCTCACATCAGCCCCAGAGCCCGACCCCCATCAGAGGCTGTATCAGGCAAAACCTGCCCTTTGCAGAGAGCCGCCACAGCCTTCCTTGTAGTGACTCCTTCCGTGACCCCCCTTATTAATATCTACTTGCCTCCTCGCTTTAATATTCTGAACTGCTCTAGATTGAGTACAAATCAATCAATCAATTTATCCATTCCTCTATAACTGATCATTTAAGTCTCAGTATTTTTTCTATTACAAGCGGCAATGTGATGAACATTTACCGCTGATCTTTGTTCCAATTTTTAATCATCTCACACAGCAGATTTTTGGAAATGTAACTACTGAAAGGGTTGTTGACCCAGACCGGACACTGCAGCCAGAAAAAGCCTCAGCCAGAATTAGGGAGCTCCTGTCTACCCCGCCCCTAGAGATTTACCTGTAACCCTATACCCCCCCCCACCCTTTGGAATCTGCCCCTGGCACCAAACGTGTGCCAATGAAATACCTGTGCATCTCTAATGGCCTTAGGGCACTGCCCTAAGCTTAGGCTACTTATATCCCCCCCCATGCCACGTGTCAGCGTGAGACATCACCAGATTTCAGCAGCCAGCGTGCCAGTCCTCTCTCTCCGTGTTCCCAGAATAAAGGCCTCTTTTGATTTATACTCCTCATCTTTTGGGAATATTTTTCATCTTCTGGAAATAATCCTATCAACTACCCAGCCGAAGAGCGAGAATGGCTCTTCATTCTGTCAAGCCGATTTCCAGTAATGCTGTCCCTTACACACGGGTCGCCAATGTTAAGCATCTGTTTAGTCCTCGGCTCCAGGGCTGAGTCCTGTGACTTTTATACGTTTGTGGTAGCTCATTTCCTTTGTGATTACTGGGTTATCTTTGGAAATTAACGTTCTCTCGCGCTCACAGTTACTTGTGTTTTCTCTCACGTTCCCGTCCTTCAGTTTGTCAGATCGCAGTGTTCTCACACCCTGAGCCTACTCAGGCCTGAATTCTGCCGAGAGTAACAGGCATCGCATGGTGGCGGGAAGCGGCAGCCGGCAGCCGCTGCAGAGCTCGGCTGCGAGGTGAGGGGAGCTGTCGAGGTGGGGCGAAGGCTGAGCTCGGAGGGAGGAGGACATCAGTGGGCGTCACGATTTTCGGGCCGTTTCGTCAGTGGCTGGGGGTTGGGTTGCAATCCGGACTTGGCGCGAGGGTCGGGGCTGGGGGAGCGGAGACTTCCAACCCGGGAGAAGGGCGGGTTGGACGTGGCTTCTTGGGAGGCCTGGGGTCACGGAGAGGAAGGCGCCCCACCTCTCGCCCGCAGCACAGCCGGCCCTTTCTCAGGCCCAGCCCCTCGCCGTGCGCCCCAACATACCTGTAGCTTCAGCTCCTGACTGCGGCGCCGCACCGCCTGCAGGGGATCGCGCGGGCGCCAGGGTAGCATCTCTCCTGCCGCAGCGCCGCGGGCTCGACGGTTGCCAGGGAAACCAATGCGTCGGCGCGGGAAGATGACGCCATCGCCGCGGGCCCGCCTCCCAGCCAGGACCGGCGGAGACGCGCCAGCCCCGCGCGTCCTGCGGTCTCAGCTCGGTCTCGCTGTCTAGGGAGTTATTTTTCCTCCCCATTCTGGAGGATTTGAGGAATGCTTCACGGGATCCTAAACTACACGTCCCACCTTACATGGGCATGATGCGCCGTTCCTTTTGGGGTACTATGTTTTATGTAGTTTGGGTCTTACGTCACTTGCTAACTTAACCTTACGATACAATTTGAGTTTCTTAAGAACTTTACGGTCCTCATTGTGTGCGTGGATCTGTTGCATATCTTCCTTGCGGTTTGGGGTATTCCTGATGTTTCGCTTCATTCCAGATTTACGCGTTGTCCGTCCTGAAGTCTGTAGGGTGGTGGTGGTGATTGGGCCTACAGGAAGTCTGTGAGCAAATTTTGAGTTGTGATTTATGAGCCACAGTTTACACGGAGTCTCCAGAAAGTGGTACTTTTTCCCCAGGTGGGGCGCAAGCCTCTAAATGCACCTCCCAAACAACAGTACATCAAATTATACTTAAATATGAATGTTGATGATCCGAGCTCACCTCTGAAATGATGGACCGCATTCATATAAATGAGTGTTGTTTAGTGCCGCACGTAATAATACAGGCCAGCCTGAATTGGCATTTATTTATGTATTTATTCAAGTATATACCTTGAGGAAAGCTCACAGACCATAAAGGTGCAGCTCACTGTACTTCCATGCGCTGAATACACTGCATATAACAGCCTTTAGATTAAAAATAGAACATTACATGCATCCTAAGTCGTCTTCTAGTTTGTAGCACCCTCAACTCCGATCACCAAAAGTAAATACTATCCTATTGTTTTGTTAGTAGATGTTTGCAGCACATAATGATCACATGGAGAAGCGGAACATGTACGTAACATGTCTTTTTCAGTCTTTTTTCCCTCCTTCCCCTTCCCTCCATCTCTTGGTCTTATCCTAGGTTATAATGACACAAACTTGTTTTGGTTCCTTAAACTTTATAATGGAATCATGCAGTGTATGCTGGTTTCTTGTGTTCTTTCAACATCATGTATATAAGATTTTTTTTTTGTCTGTGGTTATAGTTTGTTCATTCTCATTAGAATTTTTTGTTTTATTTTTTATACTGGGACTCAGATTTAGGACCTTGTGCTTGCCAATCGGGTGCTCATGCCACTAAGCTATATCCCCAGCCTGGAGTTTTAAGTCAAGAACTATGTGTTCCTAACTAGATGCTAAATAGGAAGAGACTGCAGATGCTAGACAATGTACTGGGGGCAAGTTCCTATGAGGGGAGTTGGGGTTAGGGCAGGATACAGAATACAACCAAGGCCAGAGAGATGTCATCCTGGAAAGGGGTTCCTGTGTCTCTCTTGATAAAGAAAAGTGAATGAGACAGAGCCTCAAAAATAATGGGTTTCAGGACTCCCACCATTCCTCTGAAGCGCCAGCCATGGGGAATGCTGAGAGCCAGACAGGTGCTATCCAGACTGTACAGTACCGTGGTTGGTGTGCTGTGGCCAGACTTTTTTCTTCTGGTCCTGACTACCAGAAGGGGCTTTTAGGGTTCCACCCTGTCTGGCCTGGCTTGCTTAAATTTTGCTACCTAGGGGCTGGGGATTTAGCTCAGCTGCATAAGCGACTGCCTTGCAAGTGTGCAGTCATGAGTTCAATCGCTGGTACTGATAAAAAAGAAAAAGACAAAAAATAAATAAATAAAATTTGCTACCTAAGCAGGCAGTTGTAATGGGCAGACACTATCCTTACAGCATGCCACCCATCTTCGCGGATCTGGGGATGGGCAGTGCCACCTGGCTCCCTCCAGAGTCAACTTGGGTCTCAGTGATACTGGGTGACACTCCAGATTAGGAGACAAGATAATTTGGGTGCAGATCAGGTCCAGCTTCATTCAACATTATTACTGGTTATTTTATAATGACAGAACCCAACTAGGCACAATTTACATTGATCCATCCATCATGCCTTACGTGAGGATGACAGCACTTCCAGGGCGAATCTGTCGTTGTGGAGAAGTTGTTGATCCTTCCATTCCTGAAAATCCAGCACAGCATCAAGCACTGAACCATCAGCCTATACCAGACAGCTGCATCAGCATGGCTGTGGGCCAGTTCTGGGCCGATGAAGACCCCTTCGTGGGGTTCCACCAGATGTTTCCACAATGCTTGGGTTTGCACCAAATGATACGTTGAGGCTTGCCCTGCACAGCTTTGGCTGACCTCCTCCCAGCTAGGCACTCATGCTATTCCTCCTCCGTCCACTTGCTGATAGTGTCACACTCCTCCAGATGCTCTAAATATCACACACAAGTGAGCAGGGTCGTGGTTGAAGTGGGTACCATGTGCTGCTGCCACCACAGCGCTGTGCATGATGTCTGGATGTTAGACTAGTGCATCTGACAGGAGTCTGTGTCCTATCACCTCACGCCTTGGTAAGACTTGAGTATACAAACAGTTGTCTTATTATTTTTTAATCCACTGACAAGATGCTATTGTAACTCAAAGAAGTGGAGAAAGCAGCTGCCTTACCAAATATTGATTTGTTTAGATGGCTCCGTGCCTCAATAAAAGTACAAAAATTTCTTAACAAAAACAATGGTTTTCAACCTTAACTGAGCAGCAATCATCCAAGGAGCCCTAACCACTTACCAGTCCAAATATTTAAATACAGGATAACCCAAAATTGCGTATTTTGAGTTTATAACAGGAAGTATAAAAATGACAAAAATTTATTCAATACAAGAATTGATTGGTTGAAATAACACCCGCCTGAGCAATGCTCTGGATCTTCCATACATAAACAAACACTGCTGGGGTGATGCTTGGGGTACAGTTAAGTGGTTAAAAATCCTCATGCCTGGGCCATACTCCAACTACGCCACCCAAAATTTCTGGGGAGTGGCACGCAGGGATTGTTTTGGGGGGTCTTGGGGTGGAACCCAGGCCTTATGTGATGTTCTATGACTGAGCTACACACCCAACCCTTTATTTTTGAAACAGGGTCTCACTATGTTACCCTAGCTAGCCTTGAACTTTCTATCCTCCATCGTCCTCCCTATTAGGATTACAGGCTTGTACTACATGTTCCTGTGTGTGTGTGTGTGTGTGTGTGTGTGTGTGTGTGTGTGTGTGCGCGCGCGTGGTGTACTGGAAATTAAACCCAAGGACCTTACACTGTGCTGTATCCCCAGCCTTGCAAAAAAAATTTTTTTTGTGACAGGCCCTAAATTGCCCAGGTCGGGCCACAACTTGATCCTCCTGGCTCAGCTTCCCAGATTGCTGATATTATGGTGAGTGCCACCATGCCTGGCAAGGGGATTGGTTTTCCAAGTCTCCCTACGTGATCATAATGGGCAGCCCTGTTGAAAATACAGCATTGAGAGATGGGAATTCTCACCTAATAGCCTTTATCTGATATGGTGGTGAGTGACGTGAGGGGTGAGAGGTAAAAACTGGGAGCTCATGGAATACAGAAAAGCATCCTGAAAAGTCACAGTGGGACACCCAATCCCCATCCTGGGCCACGTGAAACAGTTAAAAGTGTCTCTCGATGGTAAGTTTGGTGGCCAAAATTGAGAGCAAAAGCAGTGATGAAGGGTGACCATCTAGTATGAGTCTACTGTGACTGGGAGCCGAGTGACTGATGAGGATGGGGAGAGGTGGAATATCAGTGGCCTCCGAAGTAGGCAGACATAGAGACGTGGAGAATATCCGCTCTCCGTAAGCAGTGTGCTTGTTTAAAGAGGCCAAGTTCAATGTGAGAATGAAGTCCAAGCCTTTTGAAGACAAGGTCCAGGGCATGGCAGAAGCAATGGATTGAAGCAGGTGGTCTGGGAAGCCCAAATGGGACACATAAGCGGGCAGGGTAAGGAAGCAGAAGTGGGCCGACTGAGACTAAATGGCTGTGACAAAGGGAGTGAGGGCACGTTTCTTCAATGAGTCAACAGTATGCCATTTCCAGGGTATGGCATACCCTGGAACTGCCTTGTGACTCTGGCTCCAAATGTCCTTTCCAATCTGGGTAACAAAGTACTGTCTCCATGTGAGATGGCATTTCCGGAGGGAAAAATCCCAACATTTAAATGGGGTAAAGGTAGAACAGGTGACACACGTCAAGGGGAACTGCTTACCATCGATGGAGGACATGGGCATAGCATAATGTAGTAGGAAGAAAATAAGGACTGGCTAGAGAGTCTGTGATAGACCCTTGGGAGTGAGCAGTATGCGTCCAGGAGAGGGCAAGTGTGTCCTGGGCGAGTGTGTCAGGATGACACGCATAAATGAGAATCAGCATTGGGAAGATCAGATTCACCAGGAGCATGACGGGAGCAGGCCCAGCGGCAGAACTAATCAGTCAAAATCCAGATGCTTTACGGGGCATATTCCAACACTCTGGGGACAACACACACCTCAAGAAACCTACCGTTTCAGCCTCAATTCTCTGAGCCTCAGTGAGTGAGGGTGAGTAGGGTGAACTGGTATCACAGACCAGCTTCAGAAAACCGTGGCCCAATGGGATGGAACTCTAAGAAGCAACGTTTTGGTCCGCACCTTCTGCATTCACAGCATGAATGAAGACAAAGGTGGAACTAATAAGGTACAGCAGCCCCTGTAAAGCCGAAGTGAAAGGGCAGCTTCCTGCAAAGACAGCTTTCCCAAACCATCTTATACACAATTTTTGTAGCAAGGACAGTGTGCCAGAAAACATCTCTTGTGAATCAAAATTAGTCAGGGTCTTGATCACTCAATCTTGAGAATGACTGACCTATTCAACAGGGTTTTTCCTTCCCATGTATATTTCATGACATATAAAGGGGATTTCAGCCAATAAAACTTTACATTCTGCATTTGGTCTTATATCTCCCTTACTTCAGTTATGGTGCACACCACCCCCTTGCCATCCTGAACACGCTCAGTAACAGGACCATCAAGGTCCCATCGCTAGCTCTGCCTTGTACCTGTACCAAGGAACTGGCACAGATTCCACAGGAAAGATGACAGATGGCTGCTCAAAACCACAAACACCAGCTTTCAGAATCCTACTGTCCTATGCAGGAATGATAAGCAACACTCCTTTCCCTTTGGAAAAGGTCCAAAGATGTTCAAAATTTTTTATTTTAAAAATAGACTTCATATAGTACAGTAAGAAATTCTTTCTTTCAGTGCTTTACATCCATCATCAACAAGCTGTGGGAGACAGAAGAAAAGAAAATTAGTAACACATAAACTTTAACTTCAAATAATTGAATTAAGTTGTGGATTATAAGAACTGGTATCACAGACAAGAAAACTGAGCCCCTGAAAATTTATGGGCACAACTCTGATGAAAAAAACTATTCCTGGACACAAGGTTCCTCGATATTCAGGCCAAAGTTCCTTCCAATTTACCGGGCCAACAACTACCCAAGAATTTGGGCGGAAGTTTACAAAATCTCAATGCCAAGATGTGCTACCCCGCTACTGTTACAGGCAGCTGAGTTAGTTAGAAATATTATAGGCAGTAAGACAGGGCTGGGCCCTCAAAGGTGCCTGTGCATTAGTTCAGAGACCTTGCAGCCTTGAAGGAGACAATCACCTCCTTTGGTGGGTCAGATCTCAAGACAAAAGGCAAAGAGCAAATACACCCATATCCTAAGGATCCACAATCCAAATAGTTCTCGGTCACCCTGAGGAAGTCAGGAGTCAGCATCCCACCCCCTACAATAAGAGTCACTGCTGTTAAGCATGCCAGCTTACTATGTGACTCGCTCCCCCATTTGTTCCTGATTTAATCAATTTTACCTGAGCAATTAATCTTACTGGTTGACCACAGTTCTGCTCCACCTTATGCCCACCTTGCGAGTTCCCAGTTTTCCTCATTTTTCTCCACCATGGACCCATCTCACCTCATGATTTTACTCTATAAAAGTCTCTTAAAAAAGACAGTCTTGGCAACTCTCTTGGGACCCCTTCTGTCTGTCTTTCTCTCAGACAAAAGCTTTGTTTCTCTCAGTAAATACATTCTGCTGTTAACCACCCTTGTTCCTAAAATTCATTCTTCGATTTTAGAGAACAAGAACTCATACCGGTCATACGGTAAATCGGGAGTTTTATCCCCCTATATCACTACCAAAGATGTTATCAAAATGAACGACGCGGGGCAGAAACACATTCACGAGTCATTCCTTTTTTTTTTTTTTAAATTTGGTGTTTTTCAGTATTTTCCACTTTGAAATTAAGTGTTGTCAGGGTGCAACTATATTGCCCACTTTAAAGCATTCTTACTAAACAACCGCAGTGAACTAAACAGTTAATACCGAAGAACGTGATATTAGAGAAAACCATTTCCACTTTCTAGACAGCGCCCGATCCCAGCCTCCCCTTTGGCCCCGGTGCGCACCGCTCACCCGCGCTCCGGCTGGGAGAGGGCGAGGTGAGGCGAGCCCGGCTCAGACCCGCCCGGGAACTGGGCTTGCGCGCCGGCATCGCGAGGCCGGGACCCACGGCGCCGACTCTCAGGCCAGGTCCAGCTTCTTCTGCGTCGTGGCCAGCTTGTCCTGCAGTCTTCGTTTCCTCCAGTCCAGGTAGCGCCTCCGTAACCAGTTCGCTTGCCAGCCCACGAGCACTCCGGAGGCGAAGGCCAGCAGCACCGACACCTGCAGCGTCCTCTCCGACACATCCGCCATCGCGGCCGCCGGGCGTACAGCGCGGCCTACGGCGTGGCGCCGGGGTCAAAGGACGCAGCGCGTTTACAAGCCTGGGCGCTGCAAAGCCGATGGAAAGCGCTGCGCCCCGCCTCCTCTCACGCATGGGTGTGTTCTCCGAGACTTCCCCGCTGTCTAGATGGGTCCATGTTTCTACCCCTCCCTAATGTTTAACGTTAATCACATTGTCATGCATGATTAGCTAACACTGCTGTCTTGCCAACCCAATTCTGAGTTCAGAGCCTTAAACTCTATATGTGCTCAGCAGTAGAGCCCCACGTGTAATTTAAAATTTTCTGGTTAATTGGGTTTTAAAAAATATAAACCAATAGAAATAGATGAAGTTATTTTTAATAATATATTTTGCTTTTCTCAATATATACAGGACATTGTCATTTCAACATGTAATTTGTTTTATTCCCTGTTTTTAAAATTATTGTTTTTATAATGAGTCTTTGGAATATGATATAATTTACAATTAACAGCCCGTCGATACTACATTTCATAGGATGTGCAATTGAAAAGTAGATTTATAGTCGAGTTGTTCTTAACACGTGGGTATTTTTTACAACTGACTTTAGAATCGATTTTAAAATTAAGTGAGGATTCATTAAATTTTTTAAAAAATTAAAATCTAGTACAGGTCTAGGGGTCATGCTGGGCATGAACTGATACAGATCAGAATTGTTGGGATAGAAAAAAGGAACAAGTTTCTAATGATGAAATCCACTGGAACCTGGGATAATTCCCACCTCCTGAGTCTCTGAAGTGCTGGCGGGCCCTTGAGCTTGCTTCTAACTGAATAAAGCAGAGATGGTGTGATGTTAGGCCTGTGGTTACTTCATGCTATGCAAAATTTTTACTAGGTCGAAGAACTTTCTGGCAGCTTGATGAATTAAGTGAACATGTTGAAGATGTTCACAGAGCACAGAATTGCAGGTGACCCCCAGGAATGGCAGGATACCTCTGACCAGTAGCTGCCTGAAAGCTGAAGCCCTCTGTCCTGCAACCATGAGGGAATAAAAGCTGCCTTCGACCCCAACGACCTTGGAGCAGATTCTTCTCCATCAGATAGCCCAGGTGAGAATACAGCTGGCTTTTTTTTTCTTTTTTTCTTTTTTTGCAGTACTGGGGATTGAACCCATGGCCTTCACAATGAACTACATCTCCAGCCCTTTTTAAAGTTATTTTTTTGAAACGAGTTCCAGTCTATGGCCATACCACCCTGAATGCGTCCAATCTCGTCTGAAACGAGTTCTGTTTAAGTCACTGAATTTCCCTGGGTGGGCAAATGCTTCAGCCTCCAGAGTGCTGGGACTGCAGGTGTGTGCCACCACTCCGGGCTCTCAGCTTGTGTTTTGCTTGCAGTCTTGTAAGATCTAAGAGGGGTCCTGCTACATTGTGCCTCCGCTCCTGGCCCGTGGAAAGTGTGAGATCATAAAAGTGAGTTTTAAGCTGCTGAGTTTGTGGTGATGTGTTATGCAGAGCTTCCTCTGCATATGAGGGAAACACTGGTTTCTCCACTGTAATTCTCATACTGATCAGCTCAGGTCACAAACAACACACCCACAATACACTCTCAATATACTCACAATGCTTGTGACATCAGGTGTGGGAAGGAAGCACTCACCAGCCAATTCAGCTGACATCGCAGAGTGTCTTCTAATTCAGTTTAATTATGCACTGTCTCCTTGAAGGATAGTGTCAGATTCCTCACATTGAGGGCTCAGAGTGACAAGACTGTCCCCGCCTCCACTTGATGTGAGCTATGCTTTTTGACTGGCTGTAAATCAAGAGTTCCCACAACCCTCACCTCAAGTTTGACTAATTTTCTAGAGCAGCTCACAGCACTCAGGGGAACATTTCACTTTACCCATTCATTATAAAGGATGTTACAAAAGATGCAGGTGGACAACAGCTGGAAGAGCTGAGTAGGACAAGGTATGTGGAAAGAGTTGTGGAGCATTCATCCCTGTCTGGGTGCAGCATCTTTCAGCATCTCCCTGTGTTCAGCTATTCAGAAGCCCATTGGAACCCAGACTTTTTGGATTTTTATGTGGGTATGATTGATGAAATCACTGGCCAATAGTGAGCAACTTAACCTTTCAGTACCTCCCACCCCTTTCCCTGGAGGTTGAAGGGTGAGTCAGGGGTCCCAACCTCATTATGCCTTGATCTTTCCAGTGACCAACCCTTACCCTGAAGTTACATAGGAGGCATCAGTGATCACATCAGCATAGGAAAGACTCTTACCACTACAGAAAGGCCAAGGAGTTGGGGAGCTGTATGCTAGGAGACTAGACAGAGACCAAATATGTATCTCAGTGTCACACAGTAGGAAAGGAATACAGACTCAGACAAAGTCGAAAGAAAGTGAGAGAGAGAGAGAGAGAGAGAGAGAGAGAGAGAGAGAGAGACAAAGTGATAGATGCTGGGTGTGGTAGCACATGCCTGTGATCCCAGCTCTTGGGAGGCTGAGGATTGCTGTGAGTTTGAGGCCAGCCTGAACTACATAGCAACACCCTGTCTCAAAAGCAAACTGGCCTCCTTATCTCCTGGATGTTTTTGTCAATCGTCCCTTCTCCATGAAGCCTACTGGATTATTTAAAAATCACAAACTCAACCTGCCCTGCTCTCAGATGCTCCTGATCACCACAGACCTTTTCTGTTCTCCTCCAGGATGACTGAATTGTGACACTTACTGTTTATTGCCTGGTCCTCTGCTAGAATGAAAGCTACTTGAGGGCAGGGATTTTGATATTCATTTTGTGCTGGAGAATCTCAAGTGTCTATCACAGGGGCCGGTACCTAATGCAGTAAATATTTGGGGTTAATGACAGTGAATAGTCAGGGAAGCTTCTAGGTGGATGGTGGAACTGAAAGGCAAACAGGAGAATCAGAAGAGAATAAATTTTTCTGCATCTCAGTTTGCTCATTTTTAAGACAGGATTTTGGTAAGATATTTTTAAGGAGCCTTTTAGATCTTGGCAGCCTGGAGTTACATACTTGGGCAGCCAGTGAAATTCGAACTGCACTTGGAACTCTGTGCTCATCCACAAAATATCTTTGGCTAAAAATAACCCAGATCATGTATGGTGGAGGTTTGAAGATGGGAAATCCTTAGATGTGTAGCGCTGTTAGGGGCCACAGTTAGGCCCTTATTTTAGCAGGAGGCAACTTTGGCCAGAATGGAGCTGCCTGGGAAGTCAGAAGCCAGTGTGTCCTGAACTGGAAAGCTTGTGTTTTCCTCCTTGGTGACTTGTTTCAGTAAGGGATTTTAGTGGATTTGGTCATGGTAAACTCACTCTGAGGTGAGGATTAAATTTGGATTAACAGGCCAAAAGTCAAGTGTCACGAGTTAATTGATAACAGAATCTTTTAAATGAAGTATTAAATGCACTGTGAACTTGCTGTTTGAACTACTTACCAAGGCAAAAGAGGTTTCCATTTGCAGAATTAGGCCTTTTTTGCATGTTACTAAATTCATCTGAAGTTTACATATGGAATTGGTCTCCATGGGTGTCACATACCTATTTCCCCCAGTCCCTGGTGCTAGGTGTCCCCCCTGAGGGACCATGAGGTCATGAGGGGGCTTTGGGAAGGTGTGTGGATCCTGGGTAAATGAGACTGGATTTTGGCCTAGCTCATTAGTTGGCTTAGCATAGTTCTGGGTATGGTTGATGAAGTTTCTAACAGGGAGAAAATCAATCCTGGGTGTGGGTAACACCAACCAATAGGCTTACAGCAGGGATGGAAGAAAAAGGAAAAAAACAAAAAAAGAAGATGTACTGTTTCCTGGCTGCCACATCACGAACTGTTTTTCTTCTTCCATGCCCTTCTGCCTGTTCTCCTTGCTTTGGAGCCAGCCAACTATGGACTGAAACTTCTACAAACTGTGAGCTAAAATAGCCCTTTTCTCTTTTAACTACTGAGCATTGAGCATTTCGTCCCAGCAATGAGAAAGTAACTAAGAGAGGCAGCTGTGGTTACCTGGTTGATTCCCGTGAACATTTTTCCCTTTAAGGGGTCGATGACTTGTTTTTGGAGAAATAACGCATGTTCTGGGAATGGATTTGATTGCTCTGGTCATAACACAGATGTTAACAGCACCATTCACAACCTGACAAAAGGACTGTGCAGTATGGATGTAACACATCCTTCACTGAACATGGATGGTTAGCAGTTAGGGTGTAAGGTCATGGAACCCAGTGGTTTTACCAGAGAAGTAGCTGGCTTGGTAGAGCAATAGATTGGCCTATGTAAGTGGAGTTACAGTGCCATTTGGGAGTCTGTAAGAGTTAAGTGGTAACCTCCAGGATATGGATATACATTAAGCCAGCAAGTAGTCAATGTATGTTGCCAGTGCCACATTACCAGGTCTTGGTGGTGGGAAAAGTGGCCCTTATCACTGTTCTGCTCAACAAAGCCTTAAATACTTTGCTTTGTTGCTTCTACAATATTGGCGTGTGAAGGTGCCTGTATCAGTCAACTTCATGTTACGGTAATGATACACCTGAAGAGAAAGATTACAAAGAGAAAAAAATTTATTTTGGCTCATAGTTCCGGAGGGTCCAGTCCAGGATTGGGCTTTGCCATTGTTTGAGGCTTTGGTGGGGGCTGCACATCATAGCAGGGGTTCCCAACAGAGCACACTATTTGCATTGTGAATCAGGAACAAAAACAAAAGAGAGGATTGGTTGGAGGCCCCACAGTCCCCTCTGTGGTCACCCCCTCAGTGATTCAAGCACCTCTCACTACATGCTACTTCTTAATGGCCCGTGGCATCTCCCCTTCAAAACCATGCTTTAATGGACTTGTAGGGGACACTTGTCCAAACTAAAGCTGATACTCGAAGGAAGCTTTTTCTATAAAGTAACATGGTCATAGTCCCAGGGAAGCAAGTGGAAATGCCTCCCATTCCAGTTATTCTGAGCCCCTCATGCTGCTAGGCCAATATGCATGCTGAGGGGTCACTATATCGC